TATAGACACTAAACAAACAGTTCAATATTCAAAAATACCATTTTCCATTGTATTTTGCAGCATAGTTGGTAATCAAGAAATGTTATCAAAATGTTTTATATAGAATACTTTATTAATCCAATTATATATATATATAATATTAATGTGAAAGCAAAATATCAAATAATTGATTAATTAATTAAAATTCAAGAAATAGCATCAATGATTTACCATTATCATAACATGTACAAAACGCTGATTACAGGTAGTGACATATAAATACATTGTTAATGTTGTATGTCTCTGTTAAGGTAGCGAAATGCACAGATTAACAATTAGCAACTTACATTGCTCTGAGTCAGTTGCAATTGGTATGGTCAAAACTCCTCCCAATTGGACAAACACTGTTAATGATATCAGTAGTTTAAAAACACATTGCATGTGCTTTTATTCAATTTGGATTTTATTCTTTTAGTTCATAAAACAATGCATTTTGTTTTATACTTTTCACAAAAATTAAGTTAAACATGTATACATGACATGATCAGTTGTACAGCCTAGATGATTCATATTGGGGGTTTCTAGAATTATAATTTAATACAATGAATATAAGGTGTTTTACACAAACTATTTTTTTTTTTTTTTTTTGTAGATTCTATTTGTGGTTTGGTTTTAAAGAATTCATTTTCAAAAACTCTCCTCAAGAAAATCTTATATTATCATTAACATCAGAAGCATTGACTGTACAATTGCATTTGTTTAATGCTTTTTCACGTTTGTTTTGATTCAATCTATAACTTCAAATAGATTTCTTGTTTTTCTCTTCTCTGGCAGCTCTTATATATAAATATTTTTATTTGGAATTCATTATCTTTATTTTTTCTTTAACGGATAATCCACCTCTTTTTCCATGACTGTAATTTTAAAAGCTAGTCCGTGGTCATGAAGCTATCAAATGATTCCACTGATTAACCCCATAGCACTGCACACATCATTTTATCTTATCTTATCTTGTATTCTTATTTTTTGTATTCTCAGCCTTGTTTTTTTAATATTTTAAATATACATGTTGAACATGTCAATAGATATAAATTTTATATGATGTGAACTTGAAGTGCATTGTTCTTTTAAATTCTTGCTAACGATGACGAATAAATTAGCATATCCGTCATTGAAAGCTATAAAAGGTCCCGAATAAATAAATGTAAACTAATTCCAACAAGAAAACCAATTAGGCGATATAACATTTTATCCACAAGATCGTTTTGGTGGTAGAGAAGATGTTCATTTGACCATAATTCAAAGACCAATGCACTTTAAGTCCACGTCACAAGATACAAAATGTATATCTCTTGATATATTCGACATGTATATTTTAAAATATTTAAAAAAAAAAAACAAGGCTTAGAAGGTATAGGGGTAAATTCAGTAACAAATATTCTATTGATTTTAATGCTAATCTATGTCTTGAACTAAATTTATACCTGATTTACCTTTAGAAATTAGAAGCATTCGTATATCATTTTTGAAACAATAAAAACATGGGGTCATGCGGCATTTTGGGGCATTCACATGGCCTTGTTTACAAACACTGTAGGTTCGCACTTAATTCCTTTACTGAACCCATTACTTTTCAACCCTGTAGTAAATAAAATTAGTACATTCAGCATTTATTTATTTTTTTTAACTCTAGTTTTGATCCATCTATCAAAAAATATTTATTACAAACATTATCTTCCAATCAGAAGAGCACATGACTTCAGTTTTATACAGAAAGCTCTCCCCCAAATAGGCGGTTCCTGATGACCTATATTTGTTTACTGAATTTATCCTTCTTTGGGACTTTTTTTTCTTCTTTTCGTACTTTTTTGTATTAATCATGTAATGTATCTAATTTTCAAGTTCCAGTTTCAATACAACATTCATAAATGCTGAATTAGTGAAGAAAGAGGAAAATTTATACTACATCCCATACTGCGGCCAATGTATATTTGGTATATAAAGTTCCACATTGACAACGAATTTTTTAGTGTTATTACTTCACTACAACTAATGAATTTCATTTTGTTACAGACATATCAATAACTTGTGTTTAGAATAGAACGTTTGGCTTGCCTTTAATAAAATAAAAATGGCAGAACCAGCTCAGACAAGATACACCAGATGTCGATATGCTGTAGGGGATGTTTTGACTGATATAATGAGGGAATACATGATGCACTCAAAAATTCCGTTAACTGTAATATATAAAAAAATAATGGGAGATGACAACTTTAGAAAAAAACTTAAACAGCGGGAAATTGGACAAATTCAAACACTAGAATCACTTGGATTTGCTGATTGTGATATCAGGTTAATGTTCAAGATTGCTAGATACCACAAGTTTGCAATTATAATTCTAGACGATCCTTCACATGGTTGGAAATCATTTCCACTTGAAACAGACAATACGTTTTGTGATAATATTCTGCGCATTAAAAACTACAGGAATGAAATAACCCATAGTCCTAGCACAGCCTTATCAGAGAACGAATTTAACAGAAATTTTAAAATGTATATAGACATTGGCAGAAGAGCTGATGAGCATTTAAGTAAGAACAATAACCATTTCACACATCGGATTGAAAACTACAAAACCTTTCATTCATTCATTCATATCTTTAATTCCTCATAAATGAGATTCAATGAACATATAATTAATGAATATAAGTAAACGTCATAATTACACACAAAATATTAGTATAAGAGCAAAATATAAAGTAAATACACAAAAGATAAATGACTGTTTATACAAGCAATATTTAAAATACTGATGCAGTGACACATCATGTATTGGCACATCTAATAACACTGTCTAAGAGATCGACTATATTCTGCTACACACTGGATAACATGTGCATGACACAGCTTGAGAAACTGAACCGATTCATCTATGTTTGAAAAAATTGTCAGTGGTTTTCGACCGAGTAACATTTGAAACAGGATTTCGTCGTCATACATGCTTAATTCACAGTAAAGCTGCACTGGAAAATTGTCAACTAAAATGTCCCACCAGACTTCGCGCTGTGCATTAGTACTTGGGCAATTGCAACACGCGTGTACATAAACATCTTTAAAATTCATTGTACATATATCACATGTATTACTTGTTGTATTTGGTATTTCAGTTAGTAATTTAGTGATTAAAAGGGAATTTTTAATCTCCTTAAAAGAATTTGAGTATTTCCAAAATTCCGTAATAGTCACTGACGTGTGAATATTCCTGAAACGTGTGAAATTGTCATCAGAATTAACACGGTTTAACCAATTGTTTAACTGTATACTATCAACTGCGCTATAAACGATAGACTTCCAAATTTGTTTTGATGGGAATGTTCCCTCTTCAATATAGTCAAGAAGGTAACTAATAAGTCCATACTGTTTTAAAATGTCAACGATATCAGGAATAAATCCGTAGTGTTTCCTTTGAGAGTCTACAAAGAAAGTAAACAATCTGGTGAGAAATATTCTCTTAGAAAGAGAGGAAATGTCTAAGATACACAGTTTTTGTAGGAATATGAGTTTTCTTTTGTCAATATATCCTGTAATTGGATGAATACCAAGAATACTTTCGCACATATCAGATCGAGTCGACGTTTTCAAGTTGAGAATATGTTTCACTATAAAATGTTGAAACCGGTTTAAAGTAGCTTTGTCATAAGATTTCATGTTATTCCACATCTCACACCCGTATAAAACACTGGGTAGTATCACAGTTTTATATAGTTTGAGTAATACACACGGATTCGTTGCGTTTGTCTTTATACCATTCAACGCAAAGTATGCGTTTCTGCCTTTTCTGCATGAACTTTCAGTTCTTTGATTTGATTTAAATCGAGAGTTTAGTTCTATACCTAAGTGCAGATAGTTATTTGCTATCGGGATACGTTCATTACCAATTAACCATGGAAAATTGACATTGATCTCTCTTGTATTTACAGAAAATTGAATAATACACGACTTATTTGCATTAAAACGAAAACGCCATGTCTTTGAATATTGGTTACACACATTAAGCATACGTTGTAAGGCTACTGGAGATGTGGCAATACATGATATGTCATCTGCAAGAGCTGGTGCACAACAATTGATATTGAAAATACCTGTATTTGGATTAAATTTTTCCAGATCACAAATTAAATCATTTATAAATACTAAATACAATAAACCTGAGAGCACACCTCCTTGTCGTACACCTTCTAATACAGAGAAAAAATCTGATTGACATTGATTGACCGTTATATGTATACACTATTAGTCTTTTAAACTTTTCAACAGAAAATTCATATTGCTAGGTACTATTCGCATCTGAATTTTCATAATTGTTAACGTCATTCTGCAGGCAATGATACTCGTTTTCGATCGCGTCCTTCGTTATAATATTGCGAATTGATGATATTTTGGATTTGAAAGACTGAACAGTAGATCCACGCACACATCTTGTTAATCCGTGAACAATGATACAAGTGGAAACAATTGCAGAAGAAACCAAATACAAGCGAGATTTAATACGTAGACAAGATGAAGAGAGGTATATAAAGAATATCGCTTTTTTAATAAGATCGTGAGCGTTTTGGATTAATAGTTTATAGTATAGTTAAAATGTGTATTTGCTAAGAACAACGGGTAGTAAAGAAAATTATGAATATATTGATTAATAAATAAAAATGTCCAAAACTGTTCTAAGGTCGAAATGACAGTTTGTATCATAGGATACAGCTGTCCAAACCTGTTATAGTGTAGAACTGTAAAAAAGAAAACAGTTTTAACGTTTATCAGCTTATGATACAGATTTTAGAACTAATCCTAACTGTATACATATTTTATTGGTCGGAAATTGTTCCAAAGGATAGAGTCGATACTAGCTTTATGTATACATTTTGGTTTTTATACATGCAAACGATTTCGTAATGATTTTAGTTTAAATTTCGTTTTTGTATATTGTTTTTTATTATTTGTATTCATTTCTTCCGCAGAACTAGTTGAATCAAATCCAAGACCGGATACTACCGTAAAGACGTATGCTACAAAAGAAACACAAACACAAATTGATGCCATTCGTGCCGAAGAGTTGTTTGAAGGTAAACCCTTTCTTTTCATTACTTTATTTTTAAATGTTCTCAATACTTAATAAGTATTATATAAGAAATATACTGAGGCTTGTAAATAACAATATATCAAACAACAATTGTACATCTTGAATTTAATGAAACGATTTCTAGCGGTGCTCAATTTCAAACCAAGATCAGGGAAAAAAATTCTGTTACATAGAGGTGATAACGGTAGAAACCAAACGTAATCTAGATAAGTTCATGGCAGATAATAAAAAAAAAACTATTGCAGGAAGCCCTATTGCAATTGGCAGAACTTTTTCATTCGATCAGTATAGCATGCCCTTGACTTTCAATGTTTTGCATTCTTTTGTTTTGTTAGTTGCAATCAATTTTTGATAACCCTATAGTTGTTTCATTGATTGGGATGAAAATTTGTAGACTAATACATGTATTTTTCCGTATTTGTCCTGTTATTGTTCCAAGATCTTATATATGTAAGATAACTTTAGCCCGAATGCAGATATCAATCAAGGGATAATAACAGGGCATATATAGGTAATGCATGCAACAATCAATTAATTACTTATGTGTGTGTACCAATAAATATTTATATGTTAACTTCGTGGTATTTTTGTTAATACTTTTATATTAGGTGCGATCTCATCTTTTAATAAAAATAAACAGGAACATTCCTATTTAGTCGGTATTCCTTTAATGTTCAATCATATTTTTTTAATAATATGACTCGGTATGAGACCAGATTCCCAAAAACAGACAGGAATCATGCCTACCTGTTTTGCCATAATATAAAATTACTTCATTAACGGACCAAGGACATAAAGTCATCAACAAATGATGAAATACATGACGTTATAATAAAATTGCTTTGTGACGACGTTATACTGTCAAAACATCATGGATTTTGTAAATACGACATGTGCAAAATCGATGATTCTTTTTTATCCAATATGTGATGAGTCGTATTACGTGACACTTTTGTGGGCATCTACCTTTTTTTCTTCTCAGGTGAATGAAGTAAATTGAATTGTTTAAAGACATGACATCACTTTTGTGTTTGACTCCATATAGTAATTTTGCCATAAAACCAGGTTCAACCCGCCATTTTTTCTAAAAATGTCTTTTACCAAGTCAGGAATATGGCAGAGATTATCTACGGTCCGTTTTTATGTATGTTGGCGTTTGCTTTTGTTGTAGGTCAGTGTTTCTGTTGTTTCGTTGGTTTTTTTTTTCTCTTATAGATGATGTGTTTCCCTCAGTTTAAGTTTGTTACCCGGATTTGTTTTTGCTTAATCGAATTATGACTATTGAACAGCGGTATACTAATGTTTCCTTTATTTATGCAGAAATAGTATATTTGTATCGATCTGATTTTAGCCCTTTTCAACTGAATTGTATAGTTTGTTCTTATGTTGTGCTGTAACACCACTGTCCCTGGTTAGGGGAGGGTTGCGCGCTAACAAACATGTTAAAACCCGCCACATTCTTTATGTGCCAGTACCAAGTCAGGAACCTGTTGTTAAGTGGTTGTCGTTGGATCATGTTTGTCATATTTGTTTTTCGTTAATTATTCTGTTATAAATTAGGCCGTTCATTTTCTCAATTGAATTGTTTCATATTTTTCATGTCGGGGCCTTTAATAGCCGACACTACGGTATCGGTTTTTTCTCATTATTGAAAGCCGTACGGTTTCCCATAACTGCGTACATCCATTTCATTTGAATTCTGGTTGATAGTTATCTCATTGGTAATCATACCAGATCTCCTTTTTTTATGTAGTGTTGTGCTAACCATTCCTTACTTCCAATATTTTATGAAACTTAACTGTCCTCTTGGTATTTGTCGTCTCTTTATTTCAAATGTAATCATACATGTTGTGTCAAATAGCGGATATGTGTAAAATTGGAGAAAAGGTCATTCCAAATTCTACGATATATGTTTTTTTCCAAATGAAGAATTAATAACTAATCTGAAAAATCTTATACACTGGCATTCATTGCTCTGCAGAGTCTCTTATCCACTGGTCCTAGGCAGATTAAAATTTCCTGCAGTTGATCATTTGAATGAAACCAATCGATTTAAATTCATTTTGTTGTTGGTAGGTTGTCTTCAGAAATCAAAAGTGAATAAATAAGGGGGAAGTTTTAGTAAAATAAAGTTAACAGTCGATTTGATTTCATCAAACACTGCACATAATTGCATTTAATAAAGATTTAATAAATTTTATCTCCTTCTGACATTTACAGAAACAAGTTCAGCAAAAATCACAGTGTCAGGAATAGAAAATGCGGCTAAAAAAGCGAAACAGCTGAATGATCAAAAAGATAATTTTAAAACGGACTATATAGAGATGAAAAAGGCCACAGATGGGAGTCTGGTATTGTTTTTGATGATTAATAACAGACTATTTAAAGATGATAATATCATGGAAATTGAACTGGAACGTTTTGTCAAGAATTTGTTTGTAACTGCAGATTTACAATGTATCCAAAATCATCAATGTAACATTGTTTTAGAACTAGAGGATGGTAAGTAAATGATATTTATACAGTTGAACCTGATTTGAAAGTCACTTCTATTTACTTCTTTCAAACGGGAATGCGTATTGTTAGGTCACCCTCTGCTTGACTAGCTGGACGTCATGTGAACAACAATCAATCGGTCGTTTCCCGATGTTGTAACTCATATGTATTTTGAACCTCAATTAAAGATCACTTATCTTACATTTGATATAGGTTTAACAGTGTAAGTTAATCGAACAATATTATAATACGCAGTTCTTGTATATACAAAATACAATAACAGAAGCTATGTCTGAGAAAATATCCTATAAAAATAAATAAATGTAATAAGTGTATGACAAACAACCCAACCGAAAATTAAAAAAGAAAAAAAAATTGTCAGCAAAACAAATATCTGCTTATGATAGATGACCACGTACCCCGCCATAATCCGGAACTGATTTCAAGATTCAAAAGTGGCTGTTCTATTTACGACGTCTGCCGTTATACTTCTGTTTGAAGGTTGATTAAATATTGCTGGTGACAAGGCCTCACATAAAAGCGGCTTAATAAAATATCTCTAATATGATCCGAAAAGTGAAACTGATTATATTTGAATAGGAAGTGGCATCTGCAATTGTGTTTGATATCAAATAAGCAATCACTGCTTCTCACATGTTACGTTCCTAACTCTGAAATACATCGACAACATCATGTGTCATGAGTACGCTAATGGGGATACTGTTAAGGCTGAATATTTGACCAGACTTAACTCAAAAGATGTATGTGGCTCAAAATTCGTATTCCTTTTATTTCGCAACCAAACTTTCCAGATTTCATGTTCATTTATTACAAGTTAAATATTCATAAGATATAAGAAGATGTAGTTTGAGTGCCAATGAGACAACTCTCCATCCAAGTCACAATTTTTATAGGTCAAAGTACGTTTCATCACGGAACCTTGACTCACACCGAACAACAAGCTATAAAGGGCCCCAAAAAGACTAGTGTTAAACAATTCAAACAGGAAAACCAACGGTCTAATCTATATAAAAACGAGAAACGAGAAACACTTATGAACCACACCACCAAACGACAACCACTGAACAACAGGCTCCTGACTTAAGACAAGTGCATAAAAATGCAGCGGGTTTGAACGTTTTAACAGGCGCAAACCTTCATCCTAACCTGAAACAATGGTATAACATTACAACATCAAAAGACACACAATAAAATATCAATTGAAATGGCTTAATTCCATCAAAAAGACAATACACAAAAACAAGTAAATATAAACTGAACGAATAAGTTGATCTATGACACAGTATAAATAAAAAAGATGTTTCAATGTCAAAAAGAAAACTTTAACATAGGACAAAATGGCGTTAAATAACGTAACGTACACAGGTTAATTTAAATATAATAATTTTGTTGTTAGGAGTACAGAAACATTTTTTACAAAATAAATCTGTTATTTATAGTACAAGTACAGAAAGAAAATTTGTTTTCGTCATACTAAATACTTATCAAAGGGGATACTTATTAGAAATAGTAAGACGACATATAACACAAAAAAAGTAATCATTGAACCATCACGAGTTGGTTGACCGTTATTATATAACTGTTTCACAGATGATAGCTGATATGTTCTTATGTCGTAACTACAATCCTGTGCCCTTTTCCCCGAATGAGACCTACCAAATTAGACTTATTACCGGGTGGTTACTAACATGAGCAACACGACGGGTGCCACATGTAGAGCAGGATCTGCTTACCCTTCCGGAGCACCTGAGATCACCCACCGTTTTTTGTTGGTTACGTGTTGCTCAGCCTTTAGTTTTCTTTGTTGTGTTTTGTTGGTCTTTTTCGTTTTAAGCCATGGTGTTGTCTATTTATTTTCGACTTTGAGTTTGAATGTTCCTTTGGTATCTTTCGTCTCTCTTATTTTGTGAAATGCTTGCCTGTTTTCTTTTATAGCCGATAACGATACAGAAGAATCGGAGAACGAAGACGATATTGTATTACATGTTGAAATAAAAAATGGAGCTTTCAAAACTGACGAGTCTCTATCACAAAATTTAGACCAATTCATTTCTAACGTCGTAACAAAAGCGAATGGCAAACCTGCTTCATGCCATAACGAAGTGACAGCGGTGTTAGATATTTCAAACAAAGGTGAATATATATAAATATATATTCAACTCCACTTAATATTACTTACTATGTTTACAAGAATTCTCATAGCTGCAATTAACATCTGACGTAAATTGACATGAAAGAATATATGATAAGAATAAAAATACTCGATTAAACCATTTTGGTATTTAAGAACAAAGGCAATAACGACAAATATTAAAAACTCCAACTTTTATCAGCAAACCTCAAAATTCGAGTTAAATTTTCAACTACACGTTTTGCTTGTAATCACTTTTATATTTACATGACTATTTCTCAAATTGCACATAAAAATGGTATTTGTCAAGACCTTTTCTGCTATCAGGATTCTCTTTATTCACTTTTGTCATTTAATTTGGGCTAGAATACCAACGATACCATGCTCCGTTGTTTAGTGGTCAACTTTTTTCTGATTTTTTTAGCGTTGAGATTATACCGTATAATATTGAAAACATTTATGACGAATTTATTTTATGCAGAAAGGAATTCTGAAGATTCAACTCAATGTGAAGAAAAATTAAAAGACGAAGCGAAAGGTATTGATTGTGATATACATCCATGATTCAATCAGAGAATATCAGTGATATCAATGCTGAGTATATAAAATAAAAAAAGTCGTTATTAATGTAACACTTATTGTTTTGGTGTTTTCTTTTGTTTCAGTCTAAAAAAAATCTCAATTTTAAATGCTTGATATAAAAAATCCTTGATAGATAGATATATAGAGGCTTTATTTTCTTAATACTAAATATAAGTTTACAGAGAAACATACAATATAAATACAAATACAAATACAATAGTTGCGGTGAAAAAATGCAGTACGATATTCGTAAAATAAAGTATAATATTATGATGGCATAATTTGATTGAATGCAAACATGACACATTGTATGGAGGAAATAAGTTGAAGACCAGTGGGTGATTTAATATTTAAAAGGGACAAATCTGTAAAGTTTATTTGCTAATTATGAACCAAACAACTATGTTATTTCTAATGTAATACAAATGTTTACAAGTTTGAGCTTTCTAAAAAGCTATGAACTGCTTCGCTCTATCATAATTTAAGGTAATATGTGTCCATGTGGTTGCTGATTTAGTATTGGAAATGTGGTATTTTTGGATATTGATTGATGTAAAATGGATTTACTTTAAGAGTGTGCGTTATACACTCATGCTTAAAATTTTCTTTACATGACTAGAAAATTAGAACAATTATAAATAGACACGAATCTTGAGGTGTGCCTCTCTGGAGGTGTGCCTATATTGTCAGAAGTTATAAAATACAGATAATGCATTTTGGTAAACATTGTATAGGATAAAATTGAGAATGGAAATGGGGAATGTGTCAAAGAGACAACAACCCGACCATAGAGCAGACAACAGCCGAAGGCCACCAATGGGTCTTCAATGCAGCGAGAAACTCCCGCACCCGGAGGCGTCCTTCAGCTGGCCCCTAAACAAATATGTATACTAGTTCAGTGATAATGGACGTCATACTAAACTCCAAATTATACACAAGAAACTAAAATTAAAAATGATACAAAACTAACAAAGGCCAGAGGCTCCTGACTTGGGACTGGCGCAAAAATGCGGCGGGGTTAAACATGTTTTTTGAGATCTCAACTCTCCCCCTATACCTCTAGCCAATGTAGAAAAAACAAACGTACAACAGTACGCACAGTAAAACTCAGTTTAAGAGAAGTCCGAGTCCGATGTCAGAATAGGAAACAAAAGAAAATAAACAAAAGGACAATAATACATAAATAACAACAGACTACTAGCAGTTACTGACATGCCAGCTCCAGACCTCAATTAAACTGATTGAAAGATTATGTCTTCATCATATGAATATCAGGCACAATCCCTCCTGTTAGGGGTTTAGTATTATACCATCATAAAATATATGAGACGAACATAACCCGTGTCATGCCAACAACTGGTTTTAGAATAAATATGTTTAATTCCGATGCAAAGACCCTATAAGTGAATCAATATTAAAGCCAAAATATGCAATCTTTAATGACCTGACAACAGTATCGTAACTATCTCCCTTCTTAATAAGTCTGGTTAAAGGTTTTTTTAGGAACATTCTTTAGCAAAGCAAATCGTGCATATTGCAGAGTAACAAAGCAAATAAATACGTATTAATAATTGATATTTTAATATTGAATATATTTGTGAAATATATGCATAATAAAACGAACATGAATTAATGACAGATGATCGGAACTGAAATACACATAGTTAATTTTCCGGCATTTGATGTCTTATCCTGGACGAGAAAAGTCTGTAATTCTTTATCTCATTTAAGCCAATAGCTGTTGCTGTATCTCAACCGCATCATAAAACAACCAATCAGAATGTATATGTGATAAGTAATTAATTCAAGATGGCGTGTATGTCGACTGAAACTAATAGCTCCGCACCGTGATGCGAAGCAAAAAGAATTAAGCAAGCTGATTTTAAGTAATGAAATGAATATTGAAAAGTATGATATTATCATCTTTCATGAGTTATTGATGAATATCCCTTTGTTAAATAAAGAGAGTCGTGTAGTATATTTCATACCATATTTATTTTATCTTATATCAGTGCAAAAAAGTCCAGTGAGGTATGAATTATAATTTTGATAAATATACTTGATGTTTGACAGCATCCGAAAACAACATACCAGATCACATGAAAGAAATCTCACAGTTTCTAATCAAAAATGAATTGCAACATTTAAAGGAGAAATTCGAAAGTGAAGAAATAACTATCCCAGCATTACTCCAGATGGATGACGTTGACTTAAAGGAAATTGGAATAAAAAAGGGACCAAGAGTTTTACTTTTAGCTAAAGCAAAAGAACTTCAAGAAAAATCAGGTATTATATTATATCTTCTAAATCAGGGTTTGTTGGATAAGTTCTTTTTTTAAACATAAGATAATTCATATATAAATGAAAGCTATAACATTTTTTTAATTTTATAATTTACTCTATTGTTATTTCATTGTCATGAAAATACACAAATAAACATTCTATAAAATAAATTTGACATACAGATTTCATAACACAGAGGTTTTAAAATTTAAAAGGGTTTACATTATAACATATATTGCGCTAAAAGTTGGCTACATGTTATTATTCAATACATGCATTTTTGTACCGAAAAAAAACTCATCATAGATAACAGGATTGAAATACTATATTTGCGCCTGACGCGCGTTTCGTCTTCAAAAGACTCATCAGTAACGCTCGAATTAAAAAATGTTAAAAGGCCAAAAAAAGTACGAAGTTGAAGAGCATTTAAGACCAAAAATTCCTAAAAGTTTTGCCAAATACAGCTAAGGTAATCTATTTAAAAAAATTCAAAGTTATGTAAACAGTTAATTTATAATTTTGACCACATCAATGATAACTCTTGTCAACACAGAAGTGCTGACAATTGGCTGGTGATACCCTCGGGGAATAAAAACTTCACCAGCAGTTTTAAATAAACTCATCATAGATACCATGATTGAAATTTTATATTTGCGCCAGACGCGCTTCGTCTACAAAAGGTTGTATTTATTTATTTTTTTAATATTTTGATAAATTTTTGTTAAACCCATTATTTGCCTTTATTTTGTATTAGCTGTTGATACGGAGTACCAATTTGAAGCTAAAATAGATGATGTTGACAAGTTTCTTAAATCGCTCAACCTTCAATACTTAGAAGACTGTTTCAAACGCCAAGATGTGACAATTAATGCACTGCGTGAGATGGATGCAGATGATTTGGTTTACATAGGTGTCGACGATATATTGACTAGAAGTAAAATTCTGGATGCTACAAAAGTTCTTAAACCATCCCAAGGTATAGTTTTCAAAGCATAAAACTTTTAAGAACATATATGAATATATATAACTCTTTTCTTCACTCATGTTACATGTGTTACTTAAAAATGTTAAAGGTAAAAAATTATTTCTTCACAAAATGAGTGCCTCCAAATTTTTGAGCAATGATTATTTAGTTTTAATAAATCCTTATATGTATATCAATCTATTTGTTTTTACCTTTCGTATAAAATTGCATAACTTTTTGTGAACTCATTTATCAATTTGAGTTTTAGTTTTTCTTACAGCTTTCAAAAAAAATTTGGGTTATTTTTGTACTCAGAGGGCACTCATTCCGAATGTCAAACTTTAAAGGGAACCTGGAGGACTACACATTAAGAGCACAATTGAAAGAGATACAATGAAACTGTTATGCATACGGATTCAAACAACAACAAAAATAATTGTTTTATATTTAATGCTAAGAAAAAAAAGATATATATGTATTAGATTACAAAGGCCAACGTTCACTTTTGGCAAAATATGGGCTTGACATTTCATCTTTAAAATATAATAATACCAAATCTGCAGCATTTTGATTCTAAAATGGATCTGTTTCAAAAGTCGTAATGCTAGAAACGTTTAATGATTTGTTGTTAAAGTATCAAAATTCTATATATTTAACAGGACTGCTGTGTTGACATAAATTATTGACATGTTTGTAATTATTAATTAACTGGTTTTTTTTAAACTTCAAATTTTGGGAAATAATAAGGATTGTTTACCCTAGTATTAAATTACTCTAGCTCTCTAATGCAAAACTTTACGGCATTTTGGTCTTCAATGTTTTTCAACTTTCTTTAATTCGGGCATCACTGATGAGTCTTTCACAAACGAAACGCTCTTTTTTCTTAAGCTTAAAAAATATTTTTAAAAATATCATAGCTGAACAATACTAATTAACTGATCACAATAAATACCACCGGAATTCAAAAAAGTACATAAAAAATACCGAACTTCAAGTCAAATTCTAAAAGGGGAAGTCCGTAAAAAACAATCAAATGTTATCAATCAACGCAACAAGTGAAAACAACTGCCATATTCCTGACTTGGTAAAGGCATTTTCCGAAGAAAATGATGGTTTTTACCTGGTTTTATAGCTAGCTAAACCCCCCTCTTGTATAACAGATGTTAATAGTTTTGTTATATTGACAAAATTGGGTAAGCAACCCAAATATATGAGCTCCGTCGAATAGAAACAGACCTTATGCAAGTGCACGTATACATGTACATGTGTAAGACTGATATATTTTGGAACATTCAAATACGAAATAAAAGATGATTGTCTGTCTGTATGTTGCAATTGGGTTCTTTTATTAATTTAATTTTCAAACAGTTACATATTTTGCATAGAGATTTTTTTAACCCAAAATAAGTTAACAGACGCATTGATATTCATCTGCATAAGGCCGATTTCTATCCGACGCGGCTCATATGTCTTCCAAAATAATTTACTTGTAGATTTAAAAAAAGGAAACATATTTTACATTATTGTAGTACATGTAATACAAGCGTTTCTAAGACATGTTGACCACTGGTCTTTTTCAGTTTCTCTGTAGTGTTTCGAAACTATATAGACGATATGTCACTTTACATTTCTATATTTCAGCTCTTGTGTTTTTTTTTATATATGAATAGAAATGGAAGAAAATGATACCAGCGACTTATCAAAATTTCTGCACGGAATTGGACTTCAGAAATTAACAACAAAGTTTGAAGACGAAGAGATTTCGATTGAAGCATTGATAAGAATGACAGATGAAGACCTCAAAGAAATTGATATTAAAAAGAAAGGTCCAAGAGTGCTGCTTTTGAAGTCTGCAAACAAAGTGAAGATGCTGCGACGTAATATTTTTTCTTCTTGGGTCAAATAATTATTATTACTCCACTTTCTTTAACTCATCATCTTGTTATTTCCTGCTTCTTTTTTATCAATACGTTCTTTTGCTTTGTATATTTACAAATTAGTAGTTTTTAGCAAATACAAGTTGAAAAACACTAAAAGAAACTTAATATTGAGCAACACGAACCCCACCTAAAAGTAAAAATGTTCTAGGAAATCAGGAAGGATAGGCGGTTCCTGTCCTGTCCAAAAAGTGGGATCTATAGTATTGCTAATGCAAGTATAAATCTGTTGAAAAGTGCAGTCGAAAAATTTCAAAGAGTACACTGTGTGGTTAAGCTGTAAAAGGTGTCTGTGGTTTTAGGATATATATAAAATAGGAAATGTTGTATGATTGTCATGAGACAACTATCCACCAAAGTTCAAATAAAGTGGATGTAAGCAATTGTAGGCACCGTACGGTCTTCAATAATGAGAAAACCCATATGTTCATTTCAAAATGATAGGAATGCTCTAAATCTTTGAACATAACACACCAATGATTAGTCTTTCAATGTAAGTGTCATTGTTATCTTAAAGCAAGATTTGATCTACAACATTTACAAACTGAAGCTTACTCTCATGTAATTTTGTGTTTCCTTATTTTATTTTATGTTTTTAAAGCATCATTCCGATGGTTGGAATAAATCAAAATATTTCTGTCTGAATAAAAAGACGTGTTCGAAAGCTTCCATGAGACAGCAAGCAAACAATATAGATAACCCGAAAGAAATTCAGAAGTCAATATACAGGCTTAAACAATAAATAATTACATATGCGTATGCCAAATTATATCATGTATAAATCGTTCAAACGTTAACGTGATAGAAACTAGTGAGTTAATTCTGCATGTTCCAACTAAAACTCCCCTGTAAATACTTTAAGCATAGAAAGATAAATAAGACAACAACTGACTACTGACCAGGATAGCGCCCTTGCATTGGACTCAAAAAAAGTCACAAGGGTTGAATGGACGTAACACATTATATTGTTTATTGCGTTCGAATTTCGAAAGTAAAAACCGCAGTATGATGATAAAAAAGCCAAAATAAACATTTAAAGGATAAATCCTCACCAAACAGTATGTTCAATATTATTTCTTTGATGAGTATATTCTTTTTATTTCTTATGCATACTGAGTCTTCCAATTTTGAAACTATCCTAGAATCTAAACATATACTTTTATTATACACAAACGCATATGGTAGAAAAGACTAATATTAAAATTGGACAACAGCTGAAGAAAGGGGAATATGAAAACCAGCAAACGATTGAAAAAGAAGTTGAAAAGGTAATGGTCGCACCAGCTTCATCAGATAAATATTTTTGTACTATATAAATCAGAGAACGATAAAAATCCACAAACTGTCCAAAATCTTGACAGCTTTTAAAACCATTTATAAACCGAGATAATTCATTTGCAATGTTGTCTTTGTCTCTAGAAAACGGTAGTAGAAGAGATAGTATTCTTGAAACTTTCTTTCACTGAATTGAGGGATTATCATCAAAACGTTTACTTCTATAACAAAACATGATAGAAAAGCAATAAAGTTGAAGAATAAATGTTTGAATAATGCAATTGAATAGAATGTGAAATAACTCCTATATTTTTTTTTTTTTGCACCTCAAACCTCTTTTTGGTGAGAAACGGTCCTCATTCTGAGCGTACAAGTAGCGGAATATCCTTAAGCTTGAGAGTTTCCATTCGTATGAAGTCATGTTTGACGTGACGTTTATGTGCCTGGATCTTTATTGAATTTCTCGGAATTTTGTTTCTTTTTTACTTTTAGACATCATTCAACATTTTGATGTATTGATTATTTTTGTTTTATTCTATATCCGCTAAGTATAGATATATCGAGATTTTTATCACGCTGTTGTGTATAAAGCAAAGGCAGCACGTCAGATTAAAAGTAACATTCATATCACCAATCACACTAAAATCTGTATTTGTATAAAATCACATGTAGGCAACTAAAAGTATTTATATCCCGTTATAAAATGTGTTTATGTATTTTAAGAACATGGACGAAGTTCGTACTTTACTCAAAGAAATTAAACTAGAGGAACTTTATAGTTTATTTGAAAAAGAAGAGATAACACTGCAAGAATTATTTGAAATGGGGCATGAAGAACTCAACAGTATTGGAATAAAACAGTTCGGCCGTAGACAGAGAATAATGACTGCTGTTAGGAAAAGGGAAGGTAAAAATATTTATTAATATCAATACTATATGTTGTTATGTATGCGGTAGCTTCTTTTTTAATATAGTTCAGCAAGTTTTAAAAAATCCATTTCCATTTTCAAAATTAGAGTTTAGAAATTGAAATAACTGCACTAATTTGTTGAGCATAATTCATTGACAAAGTAGCCCAACGACGAAAAAACTAAAAATTATGAAGAAGTTTAAATGCAATCTTCAACAATTGACAGTAGTTTTATCAAAATTTAAAGTTAATAATCGTCTTAAGTTTATACAAAAATGTGAATAAATGAAACAGAAACTATAACGAATCTGCCACCAACACAAATATTTCCAAATACTAATAAACAAATGGAAACATCAAATATATGACATGAGACATCAACAGGTCTAGATCCGACGTCAATTCAATAGCTGCCATGCAAACTGAACCACATAAGTAAAATAATAAACCCTAAGTCGAAAACGAACTGACAATATCATGTCAAAAAGTAGAAAAACGACCAAAGACAAACAACATTCTATAAAAAACAACATAGAAAAAAAATACTAAGCAAGATGAATACCACCAAAAACTGAGGATGATCTCAGATTCTCAGGAATGGTAATCATATTCTATCAACAGGTGGCATACGTATTGAAGTGTAAAAAACCATTATACGTGTTGATAAATACCACAAGATTAATAATGTAAATTCCTTTGCATATCAACTGTCTTTAGTTACATATGAACAACATTGATCTGACAATGAAAAATTTTTAAAAAAATCACTTGCTTTTGGCAAATCAAAATTAAGATATCTTACATACAGAGTAACTAATATACTTATTTATTGATTTACTTACAAAAGATTCACTATTTGACGATCAAAGTGTAGAAGAATATGCATCAATAGATGATATTCAGCATCTCAGACATGATGAAACGTCATCTAGGGATCTGCCACCAGTACCTCCGCGTCAATTTATCCAGGAACTAGATAACCATCAAGGCAGTGAAAAGATAAAAGAACGCTCAAAATATCAGGTTTGTTTAATCAATCCCTTATGTTGAATCATATGTATTATAATTCAAGAAAAACACAAAACATATTGCGTTGTCTTTTCTTCCACATAAAATTGCTTTTGTACATTCTATCAGATACAATAATCCCAATAACATACTAAAGCCGGATTTCTGTATTTGCTTATGAATATTTCTTAACTTTTAAAAGAACGTCTTGCCAAAATTTAAGAAATCATAGAACGCGACTTATATTTATAATATTCTACGTTATAACTACGGTAGTTAACAACTTTACTGACAAATGCTATAAACATGATAAAATTGAACGAGAAAATATCAGTCAAATGTAATTTGTAACTTGTAAATTTTCAAGTTATGTTTATTTGTATTTTAGACATTGCCGCATCCTGGTTTTGGATATGAACGGATTCGATCACTAAGTTATCAAGTGAGGTTTTTGTTAACAATTATGGTCCAACTTATAAACTTATGTGAACATAACGGGCGGATTATACAATGCGGGAAACATTTAATCTGAAATCATTATTCTCTTGTCTGTCACTCCTTTAAAATATGAGACTCCGTAAATCAAATTATTTTTATTCTATATCAAATAAAGGCAACAGTGGTGTACCGCTGTTCAATAGTCATAATTCGATTAAGCAAAAACAAATCCGGGTAACAAACTAAAACCGAGGGAAACACATCATCTATAAAAACAAATTGCGTTATTGCTATGTACATACATGAAAAGTTACAAAGGAACACAGTTCCTGAAATAAAAATAGACAAAGAAGAAAATTACCACATGTTGTAGTTTTTAAAATTAAGGTGCAATTTATCCAAAAAAACAATAAAGAACAAGGGACCTGCCGACCAAATCCTATGATTTTTAGTAATCACTTTTTTCTGTCTGTTCTTTATCACTTCTTTGTTGCACCATTAGACAGGATTGTCTCAACCAACTTTCATAACATTTATACAAATTGTTTGAACCTAAAATAAGTAAGACCACTTTCGATTTTCGTAAAAATTGATAAATTAAATAAAACTTAAAATAATCGCAATTCTGATAAAATGATTTTCTAAATAAATTAAGAAATTATTTAGAATCTAATGTTTCAACTCCAATCAAAGTTTACCTTATATGATTTTTGTCATTACTGTTCGGCCTTTTTTGTTCATTTATCTCCTCACTTGTTTCTTTATATATACATCCTTGGCTTTCATGTTTTTTCTTTCAGCGGTCCTCAATAAATATAAAAAAGAAGATGTGGTATGATTGCCAATGAGACAACTCTCCACAAGATACCAAAATGACACAAAAATTAACAACTATAGGTCACCGTACGGCCTTCAACAATGAGCAAAGCCCATACCGCATAGTCAGCTATAAAAGGCCCCGAAAAAGGTTATTTGGAAAATGCATCGAACGCATACATTTTATACAGTGCTATTATTATTTTTTTTAATTAAGATTGAAACAAAAATTGATTGAAAGGTAAATTATGCTACTCCAATTTGATTACTGGTATTTACTTCGTTGTAAATCAAATTATGACCTAAAAATTGTGGTAAAATATACTGTGTTTTCATTCAAAATATTGAGAAATATTTTCTTTGCTAGGATATTTACGAACAGTAATACACTGGTATAATATGCTTTAGTTTTTTCCTGGTTTCAGAAATTTATTGTTTTAGTATAAGTTTGAGGAAAATTGCCATAAAAAACATAGCCTTAGTTGAAAAAAGACACATTTTTAAAAACATATTCTTTGCAAGAATGCTAACGAAAATATACGAACAGTGTTTAATTGAAAATTTGGAAGTGAAAAGTAAAATAACAAAAATACCGAACTCAAATGAAAATTCAAAACGGAAAGTCCTTTATCAAATGGCAAAATGAAAAACTCAAACACATCAAACGAATGGAAACAACTGTCATATTCCTGACTTGGTACAGACATCTCCTTATGTAGGAAATGGTGGAATGATATAAATAAGAAGATGTGGTATGAGTGCCAATGAGACAACTCTCCATCCAAGTCACAATGTATAAAAAGTTAACAATTATAGGTCAAAGTACGTCCTACAACCCGGAGCCTTGGCTCACACCGAACAGCAAACTTTATAGGGCCCCAAAATGACTAGTGTAAAACAATTCATACAGGAAAACCAACGTTCTAATCTATATAAAAAACGAGAAACGGGAAACAACTATGAACCAAACCAACAAACGACAACCACAGAACAACAGGCGCCTGGTTTAAACCTGGTTATATTGCTAGCTAAAACTCTCACTTTCATGACAGCCGCATAAAATTCCATTATATTGACAACAATATGTCAGAAAAACAAACAGACATAATAGGTGAAAATGTCAAAAATTGGGGTACAGTAGTCAACATTGTGATATAATCTTAATCACTTTAAAAAAACGACAAAGTCAAAAAAGAAAAACAAAATGGCATATAGACACCCTAAAGACAAAGCACATAAGCAAAAATGAAAGACAAGAAGACAAAAACCCATTGATTAATCGACGCAAGACAATGTTTGATTGAACAATATAATCAAGTTTGTCATTTAATCCCCGACTGATGCGTTTAGAGATAGCTATCATATCCCTTAAAGCAATAACAGAAATTCAGTCAAATTGCATTATGATCTTTTTTTGGTAAAACTACTATTTTCCAGGTATTTGGTAATAAAACCTGACAAAAATATACCTAATCTACAAAATATGCATGGTATTTTGTTTCCTAATAGCATGTTTCTCACATAAATCATTTTGATGCACATGTCCCGATCTCTCTCGGTCTCGCAACCACCCAATATGCCCGTTATGGATCTGAATATGGATTGGAACAGACATTGTTATACTTACTTTATTAAGAATATATACAGATATATATTGCTTTAGATATCAAATTTTGATAATTCTATTCTTCTCTTCATTCGCCGAAATAGGATCTTGCAACAGACACTCAGATGGCTCAGTCGGCTCTCTCAAAAACTGTAAGTTTTATTATTATATACATATATTTATGTTAAGGAAATAGCCGGTTTGTTTGGCTTCTAACTTCGGCTATACTTACTTTTTGTACATTTGGTTTTATCAGGTCTTCAATTTTTTAATAAGTTGTGGATTGTTAAATATTTTCAAATACATTTATGTTCTTTATCTCGTTAAAACATTAACGGTACAACCGTAACTTTTAATAAACGTTGAAGACCTGAAGAGTAAAGATCCAAAAAGGACCTAAATTATAGCAAAATCCGGACAAGGAATTAGAGCTTTGCATGAGGGATATACACTCCTTAGTTTATAATTATTTGCACTATTTTATTACAGCAAATTTCAACCAAAACATTATCCGTATTTTTATGTCAGTACTAAATTACTGGCTACTGGGCAGGTGCAACCCTCGCGGACTGACAGTCCACCAGCTGAAATATCGACCCGGTGGTGGTAATAACATTTATAGTACCAATTTTACTCTACCAGATGCGCATTTCGTCAATAAAAGGCTTCAGTGATACTCGAGGCCAAAATATTAAAAAGAACAAAACAATGCTTAAATAAATGTTCAAGACACATCACAATAAAAAGTACATAAAGGATAGCATAATCCGGACAAGGAATGAGAGCTTTGCACGAAGGAGATGCACTCCTTAATTTGAAATTATTTCCAAACTTTTATAGCAGCAAATTTCTAACAAACAGTATGCGTATTTTCATGATACGATTTTAACATTTGAGAATAAACAAAACACAAATAAACAGTAGCTATACTAATATGACTTGCAAATTGTATGAAAGATAATGCAAGTATTGTAAAATAGAAACTTGTCGGAGTTTCGTTTGAGTTAGCATTGTTTTTATCATATAGTTTCTCTGTACCTGGAACTGTAAATTTTAACTTTGGTATACTATCATTAAAATAATAATAAGAGGACTGGGCTAACTGCCGGTAGTCTCAGATCTGTACTTAAGGTCGTTTTTGTTGTGGGGATGTATAAATTCCCTGCATAGTGGTTTCTTGTGTTGTGCCATTACACCACAATTTCAGGATAGGGGGGGGGTTGGCGCCTTCAAACATGTATTTAAACCCGCCACATTCTGTATGTGCCTGTCCCAAGTCAGGAGCCTGTAATTCAGTAGTTGTCGTTTGTTGTTGTATATCGAATTTGTTTTTCGTACATCGTTTTGTACATAAATCAAGCCGATAATTTTTTCGTTTGAATTGTAAAACATTTTTCATTTCGGGGCTTTTTATAACTGACTATGCGATATTATTGGCCGTACGGTGACCAAAATTTAATTTGTTAACTTCTAGGAATTATATGCCACTGTCATACAATGTTTTAATGTTGTGTTTTTGTTGTCTCGTTGTTCTCCTCTTATATTTGATGCGTTTCCCTCAGTTTAAGTTTGTGACCCGGATTTGTTTTTATCTCTATCGATTTATGAGTTTCGAACAGCGGTATACTACTGTTGCCTTTATTTATCATACAAGCGAGGGGTTTAGCTAGCTATAAAAGAAGGTTTAATCCACCATTTTCTACGTTAGAAAATGTCTGTACCAAGTCAGGAATATGACAGTTGTTTTCCATTTGTTTGATGTATTTGAGCTTTTGATTTTGCCATTTGATAAGGGACTTTCCGATTAAAATTTTCCTAGGAGTTCGGTATTTTTGTTATTTTACTGTTTTCATTTAGTCTCTGGTAGAGAGCTGTCTCATTGGCAATCATATCACATCTTCTTATTTTTTTAACACGTCCACATTTTACTGTAAAGACCGTAAATGTTGTTTAAACTTTAAAACACTTCTGTCGTATGCATTCATGTCAAAAAATTATGATTCGAAGAAACACAAGATATTCATTAGTTATAAAATATGATTCGTCATTCATTCGCAAATTTTCGCGTTATCATTTTCCTTAAAGCTGCTAAACTTTTCGGTTAAAAGAATGCTGAATCATTCGTAGTAAATATACCTTATTCTTGATATCTAGTAAAAACTCATGTATGCAAATCTAAAAACCTGAATGGTATGACACAAGTCCTCAATAATGTTATTGCTATTGATTTTCGAGTTGAATATTTCCGAAGTAAGTATTTTCATGCACACCCTTGTATCTTGACTTACGATAACGGAACTTACATTTTATCAATAATTTCGTATTTGATGATTACACAACAGATTGTTGATGTTGTACATCTATTTTCAAATTTGACTCTTTTTAATGTGAAAACAGAACTTTCCGAGAGATTCTCGCATGGCTCAGTCAGCTTTGAACTTGTCAAAAACTGTGAGTATTATCATTATTATATGCCTGCCTAAGACATTGTTTTAGAGGTAAAGAGGTAAAAGTGTTCTGAAAAACCAGGTCATGTTTTAATATAGATAAAGTTAGTGGAAAATACACCAGTGAGTGTGTTTTCAATGCTAACCTCCACGTGATTTATAACATCTATGAATGTTTAATATTCACTTTTTTTATGATTATTAAACACATGTTTTTTAATTAGATTTTATGTAGATCGGTGGTCTAGATTTGAAACAACAGACTTTTCCATACGTTGCTAAATTGTAGTTTTTTTCATGTTTTTTGTCAAAAATATAATAAAAAAGTATTGGTCACGGACCCATTTAATGTATCAAAATACATTATAGGTAAATTCAGTGTACATTCCTTGATAAAAGTAATGGTATCTGGGTTGTCTCCACTTATATGACTTATTTGTAAAAAAAAAATGAAGTAAATAAAATATTCTGTATTTGTAAAAACAGTCGTAATGATAAGATTAAACATATTATTTTTCTTTGTTTAATCGAAAAGTCTTACAAATAGATTGAATTCCTCTCTCAAATTTATATGATTCAGTTCTGATCTAATCCGAGCGTTTTATGCTATTTTAAATGAAAGATGTAATTTATAAAAATGTTATTCAGAACATTGGGATAGTATTTTACCTTTCAAAAATTTGATTAGTATCATTGATCATCATGAATTCATTGTCATTGTTTCATAAAATAAATGAAGTTGGAAGCTTCATTTCGAGTATTCATTTATAAAACATGATCATGATATGGTTTTTAACAGATCCAAAGACAATAGGTCATTGAAATTTAATAAAGATGATATACAGCTTGTTTTAACCAAAATGCACATAAAGTTTTAAATCGGAATCAAGGCTCCGTAAGAGGTGTTAATATAGAGAAAGTTAAAAGCTTGGTAAACTCTCTTTATGAACAGAAAAAGATTTCAATGTTGTGTTGTTCTACATGTTTTATATGCCAACAATTTATCTATTAATCTGGTCTTATTTGCCATTTACACAGATGCCTGCTAAACCCATGAGGAAATACCGACGCAGAACAGCGAAGGTAACTCAATTGCTTTACAATCGTATTTCCCTGTTGTTACATTGATATTTTAAAAAAAATTATAAGAAATGTACATATGTTATCTTATTCATTAATGGCGTCAAATGACGAAGTATTATATGTAAAGCTTTACTCCTGCACTGTATTTATATTAATTGGATTATGTCGGAATTTCTTTTCCTGCCTTTGAAAAATAAATAAAATTGTAAAAATGGTTTTTATTTTTTAAATACAAAAATATTTTTTAAGGATTCTGTGGACATACTACTAAGTAAGATTGCAGATTTCAAGCACAAGGCAAAGCATTCTCTGTTGCAGTCATATATTGATATACAAAGTCTGATCAAAAACAAGCGTTTATCTGCTGACGTAAAAGACGAACTAAGTGCAGAATTTGGAGATATAGAAAAGGTTATTTCAGAATCTCTAAAGGACCTTGATGATGATTTTTGTCCAATAGTTATAACAGGTAATCATTATTCAATCAAACATATTCAGTGCGGCTGTCTACATACCTATCCTGATTTTTTTTATTTGTTTTTGATTTTTTGTAAGTAATGATTCAGTATTGGACGTCCTGCCGGCTAAGAGAATTCCAATGTATCAATGTTACTGTAGTTTAGTAGACATTCGTCTCGACTCCTTAATTAGACAGCCAACGGGCGATACAAGTCAGTGAACTAATACTACTTGATAAATTGTAAACTGTTTCATGACAAAATGGTTAATTGAAATATTGATGAAAACCACGGTTAAAACATTTTTCTTTTCATAAATTAATTCAAATGTAAAAACCTTAAACACCCATTTGCGCAAATTATAGATATTCATATGCTAACGCTTGTTTTGTTATAGAACATAAAAACAGCACTATTTTGATTACCATTTGAAAACTGTCAGCTTTAACCAACGACTATATTATAGAAATTAATTAATCTACACTGTTTTCCTTTAGAATGAATATAAAAAAGAACTCGTTGACAATCGGATTCTTATGTTTGTTTCAAAAATCATTACGTGTGTTTTCAGTTACGTAAAAAGGATCCAAAAAATTTTGATAAAGAAGAGTACGCGCCGAAGGATGTAAATCATATGTTGATTTCTAAAAAATATTTTAAAACGTATACAATAACATTCTCTTAAATTTTGCTATACGCTGCATCGTTAATCCCTTTTTGTATTTTGAAAGGTTATTTGAACATTTTCATCAAGCTGTCACTGTTCTTTCAGAATGTTAAACGAAAAAAAAAATCCTGTTATTCTTTGACTTTCGAGAAGAATCCTACTTTTCCGTTTGTCTAAAATTAAGTATATATATTTTTTTTAGGTGAAACAAGCGCAGGGAAAAGTAGTTTTGTGAATTTGTTACTAGGCGTGGAATTGCTACCTAAACACTCATTGGCTTGCACTTCCACAATTTGCAGAATTTATAATAAAGAAGAAAAATCGATCGTTTTGATTAGTGGAAAAGACTACATAAAAGAATTAGTGCTACAGGGAGATACTGATACTGCTGACGTCCAGGATCTTTTACGAAAACACGGTAGTAAGCCTGTTTCATCACCAACAGAAAAAGTAACAATACCAGACGAGGGGATTGATGAGTTAAAGTACATAGATATCAATTGGCCAATTCCTGCTTTACAGGTAGGATTTGCAGTTGACATCTTGATATCTTATATCCTTATTTATCATTTCACATTCTTTATTCGAGCGTCACTGATGAGTATTTTATGGACGAAACGTGCGTCTTTGACGAGTTAATTTTTCATCGTGAACATTTTCCTAAATTTGTTGACCATTTATTGATTGTTTTCCGAGAATGACCACGGATATGCTCCATTTGTCAGCCTTATATATTATTATAGGTTTTAACACATTTTTCTACAGATTATGCACTTAAGACCAGGGTGGATTAACTCGTAAACTGATGTCAAACTTGAATGTTAAGTTTGTGAGTCTATTAGTAAGATGGTTTATCCGATAACTTTCTTGTGATAAGAAACACACTAGAGTGATAATAGAACATGATTTCCGTCCACCACATTAGCTCCTTAGTGCGATTTGTTTTACATTACCAAACGGTGGGTGATCTTAGGTGCAACAGGAGGGTAAGAAAATCCTGCTTCAAAGTTGGGAAAATGCTTCAGCAAGATTCGAAAAGCTTGAAAGATTTAAATACACCATCAAATTCAAAATAAAATGAAATTAGATAATTCATAAATGATTATAGAATAAGGGGTGTCGCTAGATATTAAAATGGGGTATCTGATTTTTAGGTGATTGCCCCTGAATTGATGATTTGTAGGAAATTTTGCACTTTTCGGTTATTATCTTGAATATTATTATAGATTAAGATAAACTGTAAACAGCAAAATTATTCAGCAAAGTAAGATCTGCAAATAAGTTTCATGACCCAAATTGTCAATTGAGCCCTTAAGAAGTTATTACCCGTAAAAGAAAAAAATCACAATTTGTTCATCTAGTTTGCTTACTTTAAAAAATATTTTCCCTGAATGAGTTTCAAAGTATCTATTATAAATTTTGTGTTTTATTTTTCTGTATGTCAAGAAATACTATGGCTAAAATGGAACAATTGAGCTTTTTAAGAAAATACGACAGATACAAAGAACATTTCTAAAAGACATTTTTAAGCCACTCAATAATAGATATTGAAAAGCAAAAATAATCATTGATGAAAGATTTAAGGACACGTTAAAGGTGAGCTTTTCAGGTTCTTGTGAGCCTCTTGTTCTCGTGATTATTACTCAGTATTTTGAAAATGTCAAGAAGAACCGCAAGTTTTATAACAGTGGAAGTGGTGATCTAAATTGAAATTATTACATTGTATTATAATTAAAGTTATTGGCAATTGTTGATCATTTGTAAAGAGAATACTTATATGATGGGATCTAATAAACTTCAGTTAGGTTTCGTCGTTAAATTTATATGTCTATTTTCGTATTTCAATGAAAATGTAACTTTGCTTTTAAGGAACACATGTTGATTGTTGATACTCCTGGTATTGGGCCTGATTGTCCAGAACTGACAGAAAGATTGTACCAATATCTACCAAAGGCTTTGGCGTTCATCTATGTTATAAATACTCCAAATGCTGGCGGGATACAGAGTGATAGAGTAATGGCTTTTAATATAATTAGTTTTACAAACATGTTTGCAGTCATTGTTTGAACACGATTAAAATTTAATGTCATTTTGCACACAAACAGTAGTTATTGGACGATTGTAAGAAAAATAACAACAACAAAAATCTAACGCTGGTTATAATACAATGAGCATTAAAATAAAACGAGATCTACTATAAATGCAGAAAAAATGTCAATAAAATGTTGGATCACCTCAAATTTTAGGCGGTTCAATGTTTCCCGATCTTCAATTAGTATATTGGTAGTGGATTATTGTTGGTCTTAAAAAGGCACCAGACCGTCCGTCTGTCCATCTCTACGTTCATTCGTCCTTCAACATGTTTTGTGCTTCTAAACGTTAACACTCTTAAATTATTGCTAGGACGAATATACAATGTATCTACTTTGTTTTTTGTGGAATTAAGCTGGCGAAAGAATTGACAAATAAATTGTGATAAAACGTAGTTATTGAGTTGATAAGTAATTTAAGAAGCATATTTTTGTGCTTGGATTTTGATAAAATTGATATACATGCATTAAATTCTATTCCAAATCTATCCTGTCGGTCACCTTTTTGGTATTGGCTGTTGATTACATAGAAAAGAAATTATGATGCTTACGTATACAGTATTATTTTTTTTTATACCAAATACTTATCAAGAAACATCTTTTATTGTCTGTTACATAAACGTTCTAACCTGGTTCATGTACTCTTTTATGAGTCTTTTTCTTACCGTCTACAAAAACAAATATTTGTATTTTGTTTTATTTAAGATTCTTCAAATACGGGATGTGTTGATGAAACAAAATCAAGAGGAGCATATATCGGTATTTGATCCAGAAAGAGCAATATTCATATGCAATAAATGGGATCAAATCCATGAAGAACCAGACAAGGTTTTTCAGATGGTTCAAGATACTTTGGATAAGTTTTGGATTGGCTTTGATCCAGACATGCTGTACAGACTAAGTGCACGCGAGGTACATGTAATGTGCTAATGATAAGTTTGTAAAAACAGTTTGTTCATCAGTGATGATAGAAATTTTCACTCTTTTGTGGCAGGGTATATTGGGAGTCAAAATTAGTTCGATGGGGAAAAGGGATTTTTAGTGTTGCTTTCTTTTTTTTATAATCCAAATATTACTCAAATCAATCAAATCAAACTTTTATTGTCATATAAACCAACTTATACGATTTGTGACAAAAACAACATTACTATCAACTAGCAGTTCGTCGGGTTATTTTTTTTTTCTTTTTCAATTTAAAAATTAGCATTTTGTCATCTAGTGGCCATTTTATAGTTCTTACATTTTAATTATCTAATCCTTAAAATTAAAAGGGATCAGCTCGCAGGTTATGTAAGTAAATTTATTAAATTTATACCAGAAGAAAAAAACAAATAAATACAGAAAAAACCTCTTCAATAAAATGTCGGATCACTTCAGATTTATGGCGGTATTTGGTTAGCTGCACTAAATTTTGAGCTGAAGTTACTATGAAGTGTAGTTTGGCTAAAAAGGAAATTTATTCCGGTTTTTGACTGCAACATAAGTTCAATTAAGACCAATGGTTAATGTTAATCAATAAATAAACAAAAAAGTAAACATAGGCTCGTGTATTAGAAAATATGAATGAATAGATTAAGTTAGTGTAGTTCGTGTAAAGAAGAAATACCAAAGTTTTTTTTTAAAATGTTGTATACTTTGTGTTGTTTTCAGTGAGAGTTGCATACCAACTTTGTTCATGTTTCTTATTTTCTTTGTGATGCAAGTTGAGATATTTCTATTTTCCTATTTTTTCTACCATTTGAATTGATGCAAGGTATGGTCTTCAATTCGAATATTTTTAAATATAAGTTCATTTTCTTTAATAAAAGTTTAAGTTTCCTACTATTATTTAATCTCATGACTAATTTTTAGGAGATGCAGAACTCTCTCGATGGTAAACCGGTTTCACAGGACTTTACAGATATCCTAAAAGGTATTGAAAGAATGATTCCCGCAACAACCAGAGAGAAGTACCACAGACATTTGCAGTTAGTAACTTTGAAACAAGTAATAAAAAAAAATATAAGAATAAAAGAAAGCGTATCTAAGATCTAAGTGACGCTCTAATCAAGCACGTTAAGATTTCAAATAGAGTATGAGATTTGGGAGCATTGAGGACCTAAAATTGCGAAAGTTTTTTTTCCAAATTGCTATATGTAATATGTTCCTGGGTTAGAAAATCTTAAGTGTTTTGGTATTTTCACTCGGTAAAACAACTCTTCAAATCTTATTACACAATTATAAATTTATTGTTTATTTAGAAATTTCTAATTATTGGTTTATATAAATGAATATGTTAAAAAGAAACCTAGCCAGTTTGTTACTGCTACTTTTAATGAAAGAAAGGTGACGTTATGGTATTTCATCGATAAACTTACCATACTTCATTCGGCAGCTACATGTATAAGGAATCAGTTTGATATTCATTTTACACTAACCTCATTCGAAATAATTGTTTGGGGTTATATATTGTTACACAACATTGTGCATAGGAAAGCTTACAAAAAAACTGTATCATGTTATGATAAAATAATAATAAAGTTGTCCTTGAATAACAGTAAAATATTTGTAGGACTGCATATGTTTTGTTAATATAATGATTTGTTTCTTGGAAAAAAGTAAAATAACAAAAATATTCCGAAGAAAAATTAAAAACGGAAAGTCCTCAATGAAATGGCAAAATAAAGATTTCAAACACATCAAACGAATGGATAACAACTGTCATATTCCTGACTTGGTTCAGGCATTTTCTTATGTAGAAAATGTTGGCTTAAAGGGGCACTAGCTGTCAAATTCATGTTCACCGATTTGACTCAAATTCTCATATTTGTTTCATAACAATGTAAAACATGTATCCAAATTATAAAAAGTCTAAAATAAACAGTTTACAGGGTATGGGCGTGATAATATGTAGCTTCGTTTCGTGTGTATTTTAGCCTAGACGCCATCTAATTAACTGTCGAGTTGACCTCCCGAACACCACCGATGCCCATATAAGCAATATAAACATAAATGTAGATATAAATAGACAGCGGAACTCGTGGAAATGGATTCTTCTAGGTCTATTTAATTTCATTAATAGATTAAAAATATATGTTAATCATCATTTTTGCCTGTATAAGAATGATTTTTTTGTAGGATCGAATCAGTCAATCAAATGATTTACCTTTGTTTCACTTTCAATGTTGACATTCTTTTCCTTTTAATAATCAAACACGCACACAATTCATGCGTTATCCATCTCTAGCTATGGGGTTAAATTGACGTTCACATGAGTACAGATTCAATGAGGTCGAATTATTCACTTGCAAGTGAATAATTCATCATCAATGTTTATTAGCTTATTTTGACAAAATTGGACCATACTGGCTGCTAAAAGCGAATTATTATACCACTATTTCACTTTCATTAATGTTTGAACAAAAAAAATCATATTTTATATTTTTTATGTATCTCGTAGCTAGTGTCCCTTTAAACCTGGTTGTTTAAAAGCTAGCTGAACCTCTCACTTTTTTGACAGTCGCATAAAATTCTATTATCATGTTTATAGTGACAACGACTGGAAATAAGAAATTATGGTATCGAAAGATTTTTTTTATGTTTTACTGTATTTATGCTCCGCCTACGATAGTAGGTCCGTTTTTTTTTATGACTTGGCTACCATCCGTCAGTCCATCAGTTTAGTATGTGCCATCTTTTAAAGTGGTTTAAAGATTTCTTTAAAGGTACTTGTGATTAAGTCAACTTGAAACTGTTAACATTCACACATATATTGTAATGAAAAGATCGTTTTGAATTATAAGAATTATTTATAATTAAAATGTTTTCTAACAGATTTCACTTTTTTTGTTTGTGAGAGGGGGAGTCTTAAGGAACACATGTGCCTGTTTATCTTTATTATTATTTTGTTGAACATAAATTTTTGTTTAAAGGACAAAATCAAATTACTTGTATTGATTTCAGCTGGCAGAGAAAATTTATAGAAAGGTTATTGATTAAACTGTCTACAAGAATACGAAATTCACATAAATCAAAACAAGACAAAAAGGAAATGAGAGAAAACATAAGAAAAAGGATTCAGTCTGTAAAGGAAAATCTGTCATTGGTAAGAAACCTTCTGGTATTAAAACATTTACTGTACCAATTTGTGTCCATCATTTGCGGACTTGGCCATTTAATTTCATTACAAAGTTGTCATTACTTCGATATCTCTAATTTTAGTTTTTGTTTATTTAACATACAAAAAAATGTAATTTTATTTAAAAAATCACAAGAACACTTAACTCCGAGGAAATTCAAAACGAAAATTCGCTAAATGGCTAAAATCAAAAGCTCAAACAAATCAAACATATAGATATCAACTGTCAAATTCCTGAATTGGTTCATGTATTTTCTTATGTAGAAATTGGTTGATTAAACCTGATTTTATACCTAGCTAAATTTGTTTAGAATTATGTCTGTTTAGTATTTTTCGAATCCCCGTTTAAATTAAATGAGTGCAAGATGTTATTTGAATGTATGTCTAAATGTGCTGGATATTAGAATATGATTGTGTTTTACCTTACCAGGGCCCCATTTGAGCTTATGCCATCACTTGACGTCCGTCGTCTGTCGTCGTCGTCCTCGTAAACTTTTTCAAAAATCTATCAGCCCTGACATTTTCAGACGAATCAAATAGCCCATTTTTGGGTTGCTGTCACTAAATTGGTAATTTTAAGGAATTTTTGCAGTTTTTGGTTATTATCTCGAATATTGTTACAGATAAAGATAAACTGTAAACAGCAAAAAACGTTTAACAAGGTTAATATGATCAAAATTGTCAATCGACCCCTTAAAGAGTTAATGACCTTTACAGATAATTTTACACAATTTGTTCATCATATTTGATGACATTAAAGATTTAGTTTGAACATATTTATTTATAGTGGATTGGGAAACAAGTTATTGCAACTTATATTAATCCCTTTTCCCTTTGCGGGTGTGAGTGCTGCCTTGCATTAGCCTGCTCTTTTTCGAAATCTACAAGGGTGTCTTTTACGTGCAAGATATATGGCTCTCTCTTAACACGGGTTAGCCATTTATCGTCCCCGTACGACTGACTATCATCGTTTCTTAAGACCATACTCGCAAATGGTGTCAAGGGAGAGCCGAAAATTCAGTACCTGTAATTTTCACCCCGGAACGTTGATCGAACAAGGAACCTTTGTGTTAGTAGTCCGACGTGCTAACCACTACACCACGGCTTTCAACTTTAAGAATCTTCTCCCCTGAAACTATTACGCCTATTACTTCTAGACTTTAACCAAATGTTCCTTAGAGTATCTAGTTAATAAATTGTATACAAAGTTTTGATCCATCAACAAACATGGCCGCCATGGCTAAAAATATAACATAGGGGTCAAATGCAGTTTTTGGCTTATATTTCAAAAACTAAAGCATTTATAGCAAACCTGACATGTTATAAAAATGTTCAATAGGTCAACATCGATCAGCCCTGTAATTTCAAACGAATCGATCAACACATTGTAGGGTTGCTGCCACTTATTGGTTATTTTAAGGAAATTTTACAGTGTTTGGTTATTATTTGAATATAATTGAAGATAAAAATTAACTGTAAACAGCAAAAATGTTCAATCTACAAATAAGTTTATATGACCGAAATTGTTAATTGACGGCTTAAGAAGTTGGCCTTTAAGGATAATTTGACACAATTTGTTTATCATGTTTTCTAACTTTAAAAAATCTCATATGAATCTATAACAAATTTTGTGTTTTATTTCCTTGTACGTCAAGAAACATAGCCACTATAACTGAAATGCAACATAGGGGTAAAATGCATTTATTTGCTTTTGAAGAAAATATTGACACATACAAAGAACCCATTGGTGGCCTTCGGCTGTTGTCTGCTCTATGGTCGGGTTGTTGTCTCTTTGACACATTCCCCATTTCCATTCTCAATTTTAACATTTATATGGAATTTTTAAGACATCCATATATATATATTGAAAAGAATAAATAATTGATGAATTTATGCAAAAAAATACAGGTTAGGTATTCAGGCTCTTGAGAACCTCTTGTTATTTTATTCAGCATTCATATTTATTTAGAATATGAATGATACTGTTATGCTTTTTAACAATGGTAGAATTTAAATTTGATTTCCGTGTAACAAAAACTAAACCAGAAAAATATGTGATGTTATTTTTACTTTAAATGCTCCACAGTATATCTCCCAATTGGGATGCGTCTTGATATGTGTGTGTTTCTGTTTCAGTTTTGAATGTTTTTTTTTTTAAATATGAATCTATATATTTCAAAAAGAAAAAACTAGCTGTGCAGAGTAAAGCAAAAACGCATTGTAAGGAAATAGCAAAAAACGTCTTTGACCATTTTCAAAGCAAGGATACATTCGATAGGATGTTTAAATGGACCGAAGATGATCTTCCTAGTCATGGCAGTATTCAAGAAATAAAAAGAGTCATTGACAAATTAGCTTTCGACTATATAACTCAGGAGTTACGCAAAAAAATTCAAGAAACAGAAGTTTCAAAACTTCAGGAAATAATTGAACAATTGTTTAAGAGTGAATGCTTTTTAATAGATAGAGAATGTGAAACAATTGACGAAATTCTCCTAGGAGAAGAAGAAACTTGCATATCAAGAAAAATAAATGCAGCGGACAGGAGAACATCTTTTGAGTTGTCAGATATTGGTCTAAAAGGCACAAAAGGAAAGATTTTGTTGGCAGTAAGTTCGCCTTTTATATTAGCCTTCGGACTTATATTGCTGCCAGTCGGTGTCACATATGCTATTTCAGATAAACTAAACAATGAAATGAAACTTTCTGAATACAATTCAAATAGAATCGCTTTTGCAAACAAAAGAGCTGCAAAATTTTTAACCAAATTGTCTGTTCAAAATCTTACCACGAGAATTGAAGATTCGTTGTTAAAAAAGATAAATTGTCGCATTCAGGAGTTTTTTGACAAAGAAATTCCAAGACGAATTATCGCAGGTGACAAACTCATGGAAAATATTTCCAAAGATTTAAGACAACCAAGAGAAATACGAAAACACAGTTATAGCATGCAAAAATATGTTATGCCTGTATATGGAAGAATTATATTTGCTTCAATGGATGTCTTTGATGAAAACATGATTGAAGCCGATCCCATAGATGGTACCAATGTTTTTGCCACTATACAGTTAAACAATGAAAAAATTACAGTGGCCGTTAAACCAATGCGATACAAGGAAAACAACAACGACAAATACACAGCTACGGCGGAAGTGTATAGTATGAGGTAGGTAGGACTATTATGCATATATATAAACATATAAAAAAATTGAATGTATATACCAGTTTAATATGTCGTATAATATGCACCATTATGTTTTAGGTTTCTTAAATCTATTATGTTCAGCTGTTTGTTTGTTTACCTGATTAATGAATTTTGAACACCGTCGGCAAATATTCTTGTTTATGCAGGACGATGAAAATACATCAAACATATAATACTAGTAGCATGAGTAGATAAGCTCTGCAAAGTGACTCTTAAAGGGATGAAGATTGAGAAACTTGGACTGTAACCGATAAAGGGTATAGGTGAAGACATTGTATCTTACAACAGGCCACATACAAACCTATCAAATAAGTGTTGCATGAGTCGATGAAATACGTAGAGCGTGCACTATCGATTAAAAAAGGATCAAATGTATCTTTAGAAGGCGTATATATCTAGAGTCCCCATCCGACATGGTGTGACTATGTAAATCATTGCAAGTTAATTACAACAGAGTATGCAAGACAGGAATAAACGAAAATTAGTGATCCGCACACAACGATGCGAAATTCAAATATCCAATAAACAAAAGAAGGCCAACGTGCAGTTTTCAGCAATTGAAAAATTCTTTAATTAGCCAAGATATAAATCGCCCGGTATCTAAACAATTACTTAAAAAGACTTGAAAAGACTGGACATCAACGTTGGATTCTCTAACGGTAAAAACATTACGATTAAAAACCTAAAGACAATAACTAATGAGGTTCCCTTATCTTATTTATCAGTAATCTTCTTTATGTATGAGCATTCTTAGTTCTTTTGTCTAAATTATATTCATTATATCTCATGTTTTTATTGTCTATATGATCATTGCATTGATTTGTTTAATCCATTTATTTTTTGGCAAAATTTAAAAAAATATTACACTTTAAGATCACTTAACTAAGAATAAGTTAATTTAAAAAAAATTATTGAGGAAATAAAAGTTCTCTATAAAGTCTTGTTTCGAATAATGTAGTTTCAGCTTAGTCTCTTGGCAAGAACGTGATACCAAATAGTACAAATTCCTTATTGCAGAGATCTTTATCACCAGAATGTTGTCAAGTTCTATGGTATTTGTCCATTCAATGACCACGGAATGGAAGGTTTTAATTTTTTCACAGAATATTGTGGGGATAATTTAGATAACAAGGTTTTTGATGAGCATATACGTTGGCGAAAAAGCCTTCGTTACATAAAAGATGGCCTTGAAGGACTGATATATCTCCATCAATCTGGAATCGTTCATAGAAACATTCGACTTGCTACAATATTAGTAAGTAACAATAAATTGAATATTACTATAAATAAACTACAGACTTAGCAACACGAACCACACCACAAACATGAGTTGATCTGAGATGCTCTGAATATATACCTGAATTGAATAGCAATTAATATTTACCCATCTAATCAAATAGAAACGGAAATGGCAAATAAATTGTATAAGTAAAGTGTATTTTAGCTTTCTTGCCTTCATTTTCTTGTCAAGTTTAATTCAAAAGTTATCATCATTAACATCTTTTATATGTTTCAAAATCAACATAGATACAGTATGTTTAGCAAATTACACATCTAAAAGCAATCCGACAGGCCACGTAATAACTGATGACTTTGATATTTCCACGGTGTGTTAAGGTACAGAAATATCTTTAGCCTAAATGCTAAATGGTGTATCACAATCCTGCTACATCTATATTTTAAACACATGTAATTCTGTTCTACTTCTTCGGCAAATAAGCTGTTGTACACGCACACAAATCCAGAATGAAATGTTGTTGTTTGTTAATCACATCCTTATTGGATGTGCTCCTCATTAGTAAGAGGAAGTCAAAGAAAAGAAGAATTAGATAACTGCTGAATAAATGTATTAGGTTTAGACAATATTAAAACGAAAGCTTTCAAACTTGTAAGACAATATGTTTGGAATATCTGTATTATAAATGTCCATGTTCAACTTGCCGTATCTCTGTTTCTCGATTGTGACTTCAACGAATACGACTTAAAACATAATTTTGTCCTGTTGCGAAATACTATACCACCCACACCGTACGATAAAGAACGATCGACCTCTTCAAAGCATATATTTCATCCAATCATTTGACATGATGCATATTTTTCAAACTTCTCTGAATCTTACTTTGTAGGTTGGTAGTCGTTTTGTCAATCTTAACGTCTGTTTTATTTCAGTATCTTTTAGGGGTACCTCAACTAAGTGGGTTTTTTTTTTTTTCGTTTTTCCGATATCTAAAATGGTGTGTGTCCATTCATCATCAACCAAAGTTTTATTGAAATCATTCTCGCATTTTTGCTTGCCTTATATTCCAATTAATTACTTTGAAGATGATGAGTTTTTCATAAAAAAATAGCTATAAATGATTTAAGATAGTTTGCCTCACGATTCCTTTTCCATCATGATTAGTCAAAACTTATATAATGTTTCTATTTTGTTTACATTTTGTGTAATTGGATGATGTCCTGCCTTTTTATCTATATTAAAAGAGAATACATTTCACAAGCAAGCGTGTTTAGTTATAACGAGCGAAGGCAAAAACAGTTATTTAAAAGTATTGATCTTTGACAATGGTTCTACTGCCTAGCAATATGGAATAAGTCGACCAAAATTTCGATAAAAGTAAAAAATGTTGAACTATCTTTTGTTTTCAAAATGATACTGATGCTATACATTTATCATATTAACTGGTTTATTTTCACTTTACTTATTCAGATAAAAGATGGGGAAGCAAAACTTTCTGATGGTGGCATTACAATGAAAAGGGTTTTGAAAGGCAATATCAAGGGTGGTGTGCCAATTGTTAGAGCTCCAGAAGTCTTACTGGTCGATTACTGCGGTCATGAGTCGGACATGTTCCAAGTAGGTATAGTTCTATGGGAAGCTTTTTATAGCAAGCGAGCTTTTTTCGATGAAAGTGAAAAGACAACATATGAAGAACTGACCAAGCGCATTGTTAACGGCGAAACACCTTCACTGGAGGACCCTTACCCACAAATAACTATCCGTCACAAAATTGAAGACTGTTGGGAAAAAAGTCTAGATTAAAGGCCTTCTGCTAAAGATGTAAGAGATGTTATCACTGCATTCCTAGAAACAAATCCAGTAACAAATTGATCAAAATCGATTTCATGGTGTGGTATTATATTTCCGCTTAGAAAGACAAGGCAATCAGTCGTTCCATGACGTTTTCGGCGCCTCTTCCAAAGAACATAAATCAGAGCATCTTGAAAGTTTGCAGCAAGCTTTATTTGATAATATTATACCGTTATTGGCATTTTTTCATCAAGTTTCTACTAATCGTATACTAAATTACACATACTAAGTTTTGACACGTAGTATGCTTTGTTCATTTATGATAGTTATGTACCAATTCAGAAATATGACAGTTGTTTTCCATTCGTTATATGTGTCTGAGCTTTTGATTTTGCCATTTTGTAAAGGACTTTCCGTTTTTATTTCCCTTGGTTTGTTTTTGATATTTAAATTTATATGATTGTATTCTTTTTAATATAATTGCTTAATTATTACAATCGTTATTATTACTTTTATCATTATTATCATCTGTTTTCGGCATTAATTTGACAACGGTTGTAATTTATTGAAAGGTTTCCCGTATGTTAAGCCTACAAGTCAAGATGTGCAAAATGTAACAGTTTGTCTGCGCACGAGAATGTGTTATGGAGTATTTAATTGGATCAAAAGAAGAATGCGTTCCTATCACGATTTCCTTAATACAGAGTTGCTGCTCACAAGGGCGTCATTAAACAAAAAAGTGGTGCCGCATGTGGAGCTCTGCATGTGGAGCAGGATCTGCTTATCCTTTTTGAGCACCTGAGATCACCACCGGTTTTTGGTGGGGTGCATGTTGTTCTGTCTTTAGATTTCGATTTTGCGTTTGGTATACAGTTGTTTGTCTTTTGGTCTTTTTTATTTTTTATTTTTGCCATGACGTGATCTGTATATTTTCGACTTATGTGTTTAAGTGTCCTTTTGTTATCTTTCGACTCTGTTTAAAAGTTTAAGTCAAACAAAAAGGGTGTTTTCCCGTTCTGATAACACTCATTTGTAAATATTGACATGATGATGTGTAATGTTGTTCATGGGGGAAAACGGCCAAATACTTCATGGCATTTGCATAATTGAAAAATATTTTAAATCGTGTTTCATTATTTAGAATAAATTTTCCTTTGCGTTGCCTTTTAGCAACTTGTTTCTGATAAAGCAATGACCTCATTTTTATAATTTTATAACTTAAAAACCTAGATCTACAGCTACTTTGTGTCGGTTTTTTTTTTTGTATTGTCTCCCTTGCTTCTTCGTTTAATTTATTAACATATATATGATCAAAGGGAATATCTCAAATTTAATTTTAAAATCGTGAAACAGTTCCCAGTTCTTTGCAAAATGAAGTTAGCTTATGTTTTTATATTTAGCTTCGTTATATCACAGATGTTTAAACATGCTAAAGCTAGTAATAGATATGTTCATCTACCGTGTATATTGTTATAGTTTATTTTTCAAATTCAGCAATAAATATATGACCAACGAGGGATATATTGGGTGAAAATCAATGAGATACTAACAGTTGTTATTTCATTACATCTATCTATTGGTGTATCCACAGTTTTCAATTTGCATCTGGTTAATTAAAAAAGCATTGTGAATATAGATGAGCTAATCGTTTTCAATTTATGCATGATGTTTAACACACAGTGACCAATTGAATTGCACATTAGAGACGAGAACATTTTGATTTTATATGAATAGGAACCCTACATTGAACTGACATTGGAATCTTAACACGAGTTATTTCACAAGGTAACAGTCCGCAGGACCCCTAAATACGCAGTAGGTGGAATATTTATATTTATTTTGGAAATTTTAGTTTTGCCTATTGAAAAGTGGATTTGGGTTTGTTCAAATCACATAAACAGTATCAAATTATCTGCACGAAATGCTTATTTCGACAATAAACGCTTCTTCAGTGATGCTCGAGGCCAAATTATTTGAAAATCAAAGACCTGTTACAAACACTGAAGAGCTGATTTAACCAAAAAGGACATAAAGTAGAACTAAACCCGGACAAAGAATCATAGCTTTACATGAGGGAGATGAATTTCTTAATTAGAATTTTCAATTTTTGTAACAGATAATTTCATTCACAATAATATGTTTATGACAGTAACGAGGTACCGGCTACTGGGCTGGTAGAACAATCGGGAACTAACAGTCTTCCAGCAATCAAACGAATTAGTTATGTTATTTGCGGCATGGATACATAACACGATAACTTGTCTGATGAGGTACATTTTACACGACAATTTCTCTGTACAAAATACAAGAGTGATCGCGCTGGAATATCTCGCCTCCTTTACTTATGATCACATCTATAACAAATCGTCAAAAAGAAATAATCCACAATGCCTTTCAACATAAAAATGGAAGCATACTCTATAAATTTATTACTTTGTGATACCATAAGGCATATTGTGTTAATAGTGAACAATAAGGTAAAACATGATACACAGAGGAACAAGTGATCAGTATGCTGGAGTTTTTTATTTGTTTAATTTGGTAGACTTTTTCAACAAATTGTCGGCATTCCTATTGGAACGAAATGTGCGTCTCTTCTTGTCGACCTCTTCTTATTTTCATATGAATCGGAGTTCCTTCAGACACTTGTCAAAAACAAGAAGATCAAAGAAGCCAGGTTATTTAATTTTACATTCAGATATATTGATGATGTTCTTTCCATTAACAATCTGAACTTTTCTTTTTGAGTTCCATTTATATATCCCCCAAAACTAGAAATTAAAAAAACAACAGACACGGCTTCCTCCGCCTCATTTTTAGACTAATACCTCGAATTTGACATACACAGTCATCTCAGTACCAGAATCTATGACAAACGAGACGATTTTAATTTTGAAATTATCAATTTCCGCCACCTTAGTAGCAATATACCAACTTCACCTGCATATGGGATATACATTTCCCAAATTATTCGGTATTCAAGAGCTTGCAAGTCCTATGCAGACTTTGTAAAACGTCACCAGTGTCTGAAAAGAAAGTTGATAAAGCAGAGGTATGTCAAAGAACGTCTCGTCCTTTTTCTAAAAAATTCATCGGAAGGTACCAAGACCTTGTTGGTAAATATTCCGTATCAACTTCACAAATAATGCACGACGGTCTTGAAGTATAGATTCTGTTTATCATCTTAAAAACGTGTTATAGTATTCTTTTATTGTCTTTATGTATATTACTTGTATTGGTTTAGTCAGTTTTTGATGATATCCATTTGACGTGACTCTGTAACATCCCATCATTGTGTTATTGTTCGATGATCATTTTTGTAATCTTGTCTTTCATTTTTGATAATGTGCTTTGTCTATTTGCCTTTTTTTTGGTGTCTTTGATGCTCTGTACTTATACATCCCGTCATTGTTACTGTGCTATTGTGAATTTTTATATTCTCGTCTTTAATTTTTGATAAATGTGCTTTGTCTTTATGCCTTTTTGTGCTTCTTTGTGACATATTTGTTTGTTTTTATAGTGACTAAGATTATGACACAATGTTGACTGCTGTACCCCTATTTTTGACATTTTTACCTATTACGTCTGTTTTGTTCACACATCGTTGTCAATAAATGGAATTTGATGCGACTGTCATACAAGGGAGAGGTTTAGCTAGCTATAAAACCAGGTTTAATCCACTATTGTCTACATAAGAAAATGCCTGTACCAATTCAGGAATATGGCAGTTGTTATCCATTCGTTTGATGTGTATGAGCTTTTGATTTTGCCATTTGATTAGGGACTTTTCGTTTTGAATATTCCTCGGAGTTCAGTATTTTGGTGATTCTACTTTTTTCTTAACATACAAAGTTTAAAGCGTCGAGGTTGTCTATCTTTTTACAATTAGTTTACGTGGCTGGATTATGCGACTTTTATCACAGGCGAAATATGACTGGGTCTATACATTCGTAATTTTGTAACATGTCCGTCACAGCCGATTCAAAGGGGAAGACATAATAAAAGAATGCATTGCTTATATGTTCAAAAGGTTTGGTAAACGTCATTAAAACAGCAGCACAGCACTATAATTAATCAAAAACAAACAAGAAAGGTTCATCGACCTTAAGCAACGATAGACGAGTTCTCACACAAAATATCATACTATGCATGTCCATAGTAAAGCAGTTGTTGTTTACAAATTTCGAATTACTCCTCAAACATCACGATTGCGCGCAGGAACAGAAAATTATAAGAGTGTAACCCTGTTTTTTGGTTTGCTTGATGAGTAAGGATACTTATCCATTTATTATCAATTGACTACCTGAATTCAAGTGTGATTAAGCTTGCATAAACTGTTAGTGTAATCACAGATTGAATTGTCATAGTAAACTTTTTTTCATTTTGGTCAGGTAAGTTTTGTTTAACCCTTAATTTTTTTTCGATTTTGGTTCTTATATCCATTCAATAAATAATCAAATCTAATTAAAATTGAGAATGGAAATGGAAAATGTGTCAAATGTTTATTCCAAATTTAAAGTAAATAAATGGGGAATGTGTCCATGGGACACAGATGATACCCCCGCTTGCATATAACGTTGTAAAGGGGCATAACTCAAGAACGGTAAAAGTGATGCCACCAAAATTCAAACTCGATCTGTATTTTGTGGTAATAAACATTGTGTATGAGTGTCATTACATTTGGTTGAGACTAAAGTTGGAGAACGGAAACGAAAAATTCAGCATTTTTTCTATTTGTAAAGGGGCATAACTCTAGAACGGTAAATGTGATGCCACCAAAATTCAAAATTGATCTGTGTTTTGTGGTAAAAAGCATTGTGGACAAGTTACATAACATTTGGTCGAGGCAAACTAAAGTTAGAAAATGGAAACAAAAAATTCAGCAATTTTTCCATTTGTAAAGGGGCATAACTCTAGAATGGTAAAAGTGACACCACCATAGTCCCAACTTAATCTGTGTCTTGTGGTAATAAACATTCTGTATAAGTGTCATTGCATTTGGTTGAGACTAAAGTTGGAGAACGGAAACGAAAAATTCAGCATTTTTTCCATTTGTAAAGGGGCATAACTCTAGAACGGTAATTGTGATGCCACCAAAATTCAAATTTGATCTGTGTTTTGTGGTAAAAAGCATTGTGGATAAGTTTCATAACATTCGGTTGAACTAAAGTTAGAGAATGGAAACCAATTTTGGGACGTGCGGACAGACATGGGTAAAACTTAATGCCTCCTCCGCTATGGCGGGGACTAAAAACAGTTTTAGTAAATTAGTAGTAAAACTTTTATTGAACTAATTCACAACAGATTTTCTTTTCGTTGCAAGCACTTATATTAACACATGCAAATCAAGTGTAGCTTTTTATTTTGATCAGTCAAGATCATTATTCTCCGAGACTACAAGCAAAACTTCTTTACCAAAATGAATGATTGGAACACCCTTAACCGATCTAATAATCATATGGTAATAGCTGTCATGTATAGCATAAATCTAATTCACATACATAGACTTCCGTTTAATTCCAAAGGAAATCACATTTCTTCTCTGAAACTAAATTAAGTATGACTGTCCATTGTCATACTTTTTGAATGCCAGTTTTTTTTAATTAGCAGCTCAACAACTGACCTCGTTATCTCTTATATCTGGGTTGGACAGAACTAATAATAGATGATTTTAAAACATGCAGTGACATTTCAAGATGGTAACAATATTTGTATAAAAAGAGTGCTTACGCTGAAGTGTCTTGCCTGTTTTACTTAACACTTACACTTAGTGAATATTTCTTTTATTCTTAAAACTTTTGCTTTCCAGTCTTGTCAAGGTTATGTTCAACATATTTTTTTATAATTATCTTGATCTTCATTCTTCTTTGTGCATCTTTGCTGTCAAGTTCATTTTTCATTCTCATCATATGGGTTTTATATCAGTTTTATAATGCTATATTTTTTTATTTATCCAATATGATTTAATATTCCATGGTCAACTACTTCAAATAGTAGAATTGTCTGTGTAGGGTGACACAATTTCTTGTGGACTGTTAAGTTGTTGGCAACGAATTAACTTTAGTTTCCTTTGTTTCCTTGGTGTTTGTGTTCAATTGAAATTTATATGGATTGAAGCTATAGGGAAGGATATGAACCCTGATAAACTTGCGGTAAAAGGTCAAGCTCACAACAGCTTAAGATAGTCTACAAATAAAAGTATGAGTTGTTAGTTGTTATTTCTAAATTGTTGATTCCTTGATGTACTTGTTGGGTTTTTATATTGATTGTTGTTTAATGCCACTTTCAGCACTATTGTGCTATTTCATGATGATCAGTTCTTATTGGTGAAGTAAACCAGAGTACCTGGAGAGAACCATCCACCTTTGGTAAGAAAACTGACCATCCTTGTCAATAAAGTTTAGAATCACTCACACATGCCATGTGTTTACAGGCTAGCGATACAGTAGCGCCTGCATACGGAGTATATATCTCCCAATTGATACGATATTCCCGGGCTTGTATTTCCTATCATATTTCCTTGATAGAGGATTGCTGCTCACAAGGAAGCTATTAAACCAAGAGTTCCAAATGGTGAAGTTGAAATCATCCCTTCGTAAATTTTACTGACGCCATCACGAGTTGGTTGACCGCTATGGAATAACCGTTTTACAGATGATATCAGATATGTTCCTTGTCGTAACTACAATACCCTTCCCTTTTCACGAATGTGACCTACCAAATTAGACTATTTACCAGATTTGTAATAACATAAGCAACACAACGGGTGCCACATGTGGAGCAGGATCTGCTTACCGTTCCGGAGCACCTGAGATCACCACCAGTTTTTGGTGGGGTTCGTGTTGCTTAGTCTTTAGTTTTCTATGTTGTGTCATCTGTACTATTATTTGTCTGTTTGTCTTTTTATTTTTGGCCATGGCGTTGTCAGTTTGTTTTCCATCTATGAGTTTGACTGTCCCTCTGGTATCTTTCGTCCCTCTTCTAGTATGACTACTTAGTTCACTGGGCAACCAAAACCCCATAAATATATAATCTATTGAGCATGTGTCTCTCAGACCTCATGGGTTTGCCAGCGTCAAGGGAACCCTGCTCCAAAATGTTTTTCTGTATTTTGAGCTCATTAAAAAGTAATTTAAGAGTATTTTATCTCACTGGAAATGTGCAACTAGCTGTACCAGTCCACTGAGCTGTTATTACAGTTGTTATAAACTTGTTTTATAAAATAAAAAAACTTGGAATATAATAATTACATCTTTATCAAAGAAAAAGTAATCATAAATAACAGCATATGATGTAAATATAATGTGCATAGATATTTTAATAAAACAAATCATACAACTCATAATTGTTGATAATTTATGTTGATGCAAGAAAAATCATATATATATATATACAATTGTATCATTTTTAATTTTAGTTTCTTGTGTATAATTTGGAGTTTAGTATGACGTCCATTATCACTGCACTAGTATACATATTTGTTTAGGGGCCAGCTGAAGGACGCCTCCGTGTGCAGGAGTTTCTCGCTGCATTGAAGACCCATTGGTGGCCTTCGGCTGTTGTCTGCTCTATGGTCGGGTTGTTGTCTCTTTGACACATTCCCCATTTCCATTCTCAATTTTATAATGTATTATTTAGAATTCAAAATTTTCTTTCTTTTTCAATGGTCTGCATATGTGATCATTCTATGAGACGTCAACAGATATTGTTACCGTTTTTTGTTGTTTTTTTTGGCGAAATCACAATAGGAAAGCAAGAAATTTCATGTCAACTGAGTTTTGACAGAAGAAAATTGGGATCAAATGAACTACATGAGCTCATATAGAAAATAATATTAACTGGTCCAGGAAGTATGAATTGGGAAAGAATCAGATAAACAGGCTATTACAACTAGTGCCAAGATCAAACGTTTTGGAAACTAGATACAAAAAAAACATATAGAGGAAAAAAATCCAATATGCTGACCTTGCATATCTTCTATGCATCAACACAAAAAATCAACTATTTCCTGGTTGTAGATTTCATATTAGCAGTCATAAATTCAATACTATATATCTATCATAAATATAAGTTATAAAATTATTTCTTAAATTGAAGAAAGACAAACATGAATAAATGTAAAAAGTACCAGTATTTTATAACTTACAATTTTCACAGTAATTTTACAAATATATCTGTTCTTAAAATACTCAATCAATTCCAACAGAAATTCATCACAGTATTTAACAAAATATGAACCTAAATAATCATTTTCCGCTGAAAACCCAATCTGAAGTCTATATTCTCTTACAAATAATTATATCAAAATGCTACTCAAGAAAATATAATCACTCATTGAAGAATTTTTTTTCATTACAATTCTTTCTTTATAATTCTTTTGCAACAGAAATGACACCAAAGCTAGACAAATTTTAAAATGTGATGTCTTTAGGGCTGTGTCAAAATTTATAGAGGTGGTGATATGGGAAGCATGCAAATTTATTAACTGTGGGGGTTGCATTTTCCTTAGGATTTTGAAAGACTTATAAGTAAATGAATATATCATTTGTGGTCTTTAAGGTGCCTATAATGTCCCCATGCATTAAATTCTGGAACATACCCAACTGAATTCGATGAACTTAGAAGTTTTTGTTATGCGACCTTATATGGTATGATAATGTAATTACAAATAAAAGGCATCTAAAAATTGCATGTGACCTTTTATCTGCATTTTAATATACGGGTATGTAAATATATCAAAATATGAAATACATGTAGTAAATTTTTTTTCAATAACAGGATAAAAATGCATAAAACTATATGGCATACTATCTCCTACAACCTACATCCATTTTATATACATAAAAATCTCTTGAAACTTAATAGATACTACATCTGAAATGTTGAGTTATATCACTACATCAGAAAATGATTCTTATTTACAAATTTCTTTTGGAATCTTACAGTCAGACGATTTGAATGTGTACTTGCATAAAATAGTATTTTATTTCATTTGGTAAATGAACCATGAATTCTTTATCAGTAATTCTGAAAAATAGACACAAAAAGTTAAACCGATTTTTCTGTTTTTCTTGTTTTTTCCATCAAATAATTCAATTGAAGAGCTGTATTTATATATACTCTTTCGATAAAAAGAAAACAAAGATTATTTTGACTTTATAATTCACATAGCAAACAAACAAAAATCACTGGTGTGTGTACACACTCAGATATCTTTGCTGTAAATTGTTAAAATAATAATAATCTGAAACTCACTTATATATAAAAATACAAACTTTTTTTCAACAGAAATATATTCATCTGTATTTTACAAAGATAATGAATCCAGCGATACATTTGACTATTAATGATATATTTCAGTTTTTGATTTCAAATCCTCTACACATTCTTGTAATAATTTTGCTGCATAACATATAAACATTAAAAACTGTACAATTTGTATTTCATATTCATTAATTATTCTGTAAACAGAATTTCAATTCCCTCTTTCATAAAACTAAAAATGCCACAGAATTAATATCAATAAATTCATATTACCAGTTATAGGTAGAAAATCTTTAATAAATAACCCATAATATTATATATATATATATATCAGACTTTTATACAAAACATAATTTTCCAGAAACTTCCATACAAATAATGCAGAAATTCGGAATTAAAATAAAAAATAAAAGTTTGAGATCGCACTAATTTTTGAACAACAATATCGAATGGGTTCAAGTTAAATATATATATCATAATTTGTGCAAGTCGTAATAAAAGGCACATGTGTATAATTTACTGATTTATACAATAGTAGAAGTCATGTATAAGAATAAGAAATGGTAAGATATAAATTATTTCCTGCATTTGCATTTTAACCTATTGCCCCGACTTTGAAAAATAAGCTTAGCATTTAAAAAAAATTAAATCAATATTTTTTTTCTAAAAAATACCTTTGTTTTATAAATGTAAATGTTTTTTTATTCATAGACTGAATATTCAACTTTATTATATTGTAAATTTAGAAATTATTGCCTGCATCTATATTGTGATTATTGAAAAATCGACACAAATGCAAGTTTGATAATTGCTATTTGAGAAAATGCTACATGCAAATAAGACTATCAAATTTTATGTGCAAGTTTTTAGTTTTGTAACACCTATCTTGTTGCAAATTAATCAATAGTTTCTGAATTGACAGTATTAAATAATAATTATTACTACAAATAATAAGCTTTTTTTATATCTATAAAATACTGCAAAAGTTGATGTAGATGTAATCTGTGTACACTATTTTCACTTTGAAATATAATGAAATCTAACTCATGCAGAAAAAATAAAGCTTCTATTGTACATCATCTTGAGGAGATCCACTAGTAGCCCATGGGCAATCCGTATTTAAATAAATAAGCTTTATCTTAAATCTTCTATGATTTAATTCTATAATGTTTTACAGCATACAGCTAGTACCATTTATGATATAAATTGAGCTCTTTTATATGGCACATTTCAAAGGCTCCTTTGCTGAACATATGTTTGTTCATAATGGCATCACAGCTTCATTCTATTGCATCTGAAAAAGAAAACTAAATTGTACAGGCTGAAATGTTTCTTTTGCTTTTTTTATCCTGATTAAATTTTACTTTGAAATTATTCAAGATAATGGTTTTACTACAGGTATCACATGAACAACATTATCAAAGAGCTACGAAAAAAAGAGCTTACATCCACTATACAGTATAAGTTTTTCTCATTGTTGAAGACCGTACGGTTGCCTATAATTTCTTACATCCACTTCATTTGAACTTTGGTGGCTAGTTGTCTCATTGGCAATCATACCACATCTCCTTATGTTTATTCTGATACTAAACTCATATATATAACTATATAATTACCATTTCAAAGGTCATCTTCAAACTCTATATGTACAAATACCAAAGCTTGTGGCATTTTGTCTCCATTCTTGCTGAATAATGGAATGTGACGATAACCTACAAATAGAAACAGAAATACTTTTATTATATACGGGTCCTTTAATGTTCCTCTCATATAACAACACTTAAGGTACAAATTGTACTGCACCATTTGTGCATTTTGACAACTGATGTCTTCTCAGAGATGTTTGAGGCCAAAATATTTGAAAATTTAAAATTAGGTTTTGCTCATTGTTGAAGTATGTACGGTGATCTATAGTTGTTAACTTCTACATAATTTGGTCTCTTGTGGAGAGTTGTCCCATTGCCAATCATACCACATCTTCTTATGTTTATATTTATAAATGTTGACGATCTGATATAATTTAAAAACAAAACTCCTTCACAGAGGAAGAATAATAAAAAAAAAAAGAAGCATTCAACTCTTTTAATTAGAATTTAACACTTTTCACATAAAAAAAACAAGTTCATTAACTTCAAGCAGTTATTTAATTTTTTTGCTATAAATATTCCTACAAACTGTTTCAAGAGCATGTGCAGTCCTTGATGTTATAATGAATTAAACAATGAAATTTGTACTAAAACAAAACAATTTCATCAATTCAAATGAGAAGATAAAAACAACAAAGAATTCCACTCAAATCAATGCTAGTTGAGCCATCTTAAAAACTTGCAGTTAGGTCAGAATTTTTGCTCCTTGTGTAAGGCATCATAGTGACTTTGAGATGGCCAGTAATAAAAGTTCTATTCCTTTGCTTTTTGTGTTTTTTGCTTTGCATATACTGATTTTGAGTCAAAAGATGGATACCCCATATCCTTTGTTTTCTATAAGTTTAAATGTCTGTAAATTGTTATTTACCTTCTTGCATAGATAAAATAGGAACAACGTTGTAGCCAATAAAATCATCTAAATATCTATCATGATCATAGATGACGAAGCGTACAAGCGCCATCTCTGGCACAGATATTTTGAATCTGACAACTTCATCCCAACGTGGTTTAAATCCTACAAGAACAAATATACAGAATTTAAAAAAAGCTGTCAAAAGTACATCCACTTAATATAAACAGTAAAACACTATATTTTCTAAAAAACTTGAAACAATTAAGGCTAAAAGACAGAAAATGGTTGTAACTCTTCTGACTATGGGCTTTGTTCATTGTTGAAGGCTGTACAGTGACCTATAGTTGTTGATTTCTGTGTCATTTGGTCTCTTGTGGAGAATTGTCTCATTGGCAATCATACCACATCTTCTTATTTCTATATTGTTGAAAGAGAATACAATGTCCAGTTCACATAAGAAAGGAGTGACCACTAACAATAAAGTGTTCATCAAATCTGTATTCATGTAATTAAAAACAAAATAAATGTGGATAGTGTCCACATGTGGACACAGATGATGCCCTCGCTTGCATATCATATAGTTATAAAGGGACATAACTGAAGAACGGAAAAAGTGACGCTACCCAAATTTGAACTTGGTCTGAGTTTTGTGGTAATAAGCATTGTGTGTAAGTCTCATAACATTTGGTTGAGGCTAACTTAAGTAGAGAACAGAAACTAAAAATTCAGCAATTTTTCTATTTGTAAACACGCATAACTCTAACGTGAGTGTGTATAAGTTTTACAACATTTGGTTGAGACAAACTAAAAAATTCAGCAATTTTTATGTTTATAAAAGGACATAACTCTAGAATGATAAAAGTGTTGCCACCTAATTTCGTACTTAATCTGTATTATGTAGTAATAAGCATTGTGTATAAGTTTCATAACATTTGGTTGAGGCAAACTCAAGTTAGAGAACGGAAACAAAAAAATTGTACTTGATCTTTACTGAGTTTTGTGGTAATGAATATTGTGTATAGGTTTCATAATGTTTGGCTGGGGAAAACTTCAGTTACAGAATGGAAATTAAAATTTTGCAATCTTTCGATTTATAAAGGGGCATAACTCAATAATGGTTAAAGTGACACTACCCAAATTCAACTTGATCTGTGTTTTATCAGTGGAAGTCAAAATTAAACATAGCATTGTATAAAGCATTGATTGTAGTTGATTCAACTATAATCATGGTCAAAGGAAGATAACTCCAATTTTAAAAATATATTATAAACTTGATATTTAGAAGAAAATAAAAATTTTGCAATTTTTCCATTTATAAAGGGGCATAACTCTAGATCGGTTAAAGTGATGCCACCAAAATTCAAACTTGATCTGTGTTTTGTGGTAATAAGCATTGTGTATAAGTTTCATAACATTTGGTTGAGGCAAACTTAAGTTAGAGAACGGAAACTAAACATTTTGCAATATTTCCTTTTATAAAGGGGCATAACTCTAGATCAGTTAAAGTGACGCCACCAAAATTCAAACTTGATCTGTGTTTTGTGGTAATAAGCATTGTGTATAAGTGTCATAACATTTGGTTGAGGCAAACTTAAGTTAGAGAACGGAAACTAAAAATTTTGCAATATTTCCTTTTATAAAGGGGCATAACTCTAGATCAGTTAAAGTGACGCCACCAAAATTCAAACTTGATCTGTGTTTTGTGGTAATAAGCATTGTGTATAAGTTTCATAACATTTGGTTGAGGCAAACTCAAGTTAGAGAACGGAAACCAATTTCGGGACGTACGTAGCGGAGGGGGCATTAAGTTTTACCCTTGTCCGTCTGTACGTACAGACGGACAAGGGTAAAATTTAATGCCCCCTCCACTACGGCGGGGGCATAAAAAAACATTTTATCTTCATGGTTAAATAACAGAAATAGCTTAATTTAGTCTTTAACAAGAGTGCACACCCTGAAATGTCTCGCCTTCTTTACTAACCATTGATTTTATGTTGATAGTCCTAAATACAAAGCTTTACTACAAGCAACACATAAACTTAACATGATCCAAGAAAATTAGGTCAAGGTCAGATAAACCAAACGAGAAATACATGTACACCTTACAATCATTCAATAAACCAAACATAGTTGACCTATTGCTTATTGTTTCTAAGAAACAGTCTTAAACAAGAAAACTTGGAATTTGATCCTTCAACAATCATGACTTGTTGCTAGAATATAAGAAAGAAAAGGGTGTTTTGCTTGTATCAAAAACTAAAGCAGTTAGAGCAAAACTGGCGTGGGTAAAATGATTCAACAGGTCAAGGTCTATCTCCGTTGATATTGTTAGAAAAATTTGATAGCCCATTTTCAGGTACTGCTCCTGAAATACAATTGTTTAGCATACACAGTTTTTGACTCATATTTAAGAAATAAGAGTGCACATGCAGATATGTCTAGCCTACTTTTCTTATGGTTGAATTTATGTGGAAAGTCTGTAATATGAAGGTTTTACTACAAGTATAACATAAATTTAACATTACCAATGAACAATGAAAATGAGGTCAAGGTCAGATGAACCATGCCAGACAGACATGTACACCTTACAATCAATTTAGGCATTAAATATAGTTGACCTATTGCTTATAGTATCTAAGAAGCAAACTTAACCATGAAAACTTAACATTGACCAATGAACCATGAAAATGAGGTCAAGGTCAGATGATACCTGCCAGACAGACATATACACCTTACAATCCTTCCATACATCAAATATAGTTGATCTATTGCTTATAGTTGAAGAATAACAGACCAAAACACAAAAACTTAACACTGAGAAATGAACCGTGAAAATGAGGTCAAGGTCAAATAAAACCTGTGAGACTGACATGTACATCATAAAATATTTCCATACACCATTTATAGTTGACCTATTGCATATAGTATTAGAAAAAAAGACCAAAACTCAAAAACTAAACTTTGACCACTGAACCATGAAAATGAGGTCAAGGTCAGATGACACCTTCCAGTTGGACATGTACACCTTACAATCATCCCATATACCAAATGTAGTAGACCTACTGCTTATAGTATCTGATATATGGACTTGACCACGAAAACTTAACCTTGTTCACTGATCCATGAAATGAGGTCGAGGTCAAATGAAAATTGTCTGACCAGCATGAGGACCTTGCAAGGTACGCACATACTAAATACAGGTATCCTATTACTCATAATAAGAAAGAAATTAACATTACAAAAAATGTTGACTTTTTTCAAGTAGTCACTGAACCATGAAAATGAGGTCAAGGACAATGGACATATGACAGACGGAAACTTCGTAACATAAGGCATCTATATACAAAGAAAGAAGCATCCAGGTCTTCTAGATTCTAAAATATAAAGCTTTTAAGAAGTTAGCTAACGCCGCCGCCGCCGCCATAGGATCACTATCCATATGCCGAGCTTTCTGCGACAAAAGTCGCAGGCTCGACAAAAATGAATGTAGTTACATCTAAATTGATAAATCGAATTCATTGTTGTTGGATCTCTCTCAGAAATGTTTTTTGATTGACCATAGATTTTTAATGATACTACATCTGTTCTCAAGTAAAATTGTATCGACATCTTAAATGCATGTGGTATATTGTTACATTCTTGAAAAAGTTTTGTTTTTGTGACATATTTAATGTATTTCTCATGAATTATATGGATGACTTTATATATAGATTTTATATCAATATTACAAGTGATTTTAACAGCAAGCATTATATTTCTCTACTTTAGCTTGTTAAATTCTTATTTTTTAAATCTCACACACATGGAGAAATAAAACTGAAAGATTTCATTTCCTTAAGAAATCAGATAGGAAAACAATTTCTTTTTGTTATAATTGAAAAATTTCCGTTTTAATGTTACCATGTGCATGTTGCAAAGCATTTCAAAATAAGAGGAATAATCATACATGAGGGTCGTAATGGGGGCACCTTCATGACGCTTAACGGTAAAAAATCTTGCCAAATGACGTTAACAGTAATTTTTGGTGCATGACGATAAAATGTACACTTTCTTCAAGATGATAAAAAATCGACTGATTTTGATGAATCACGTTAACTTTTTTCCAAAAATAAGGGTAACGGATAATTATTTGAGACCACTGATGAATCACGATAAGAATATTTTGACAAATCACGGTAAAATTTTAACCAATTTGATGCTAACGGTAGCAGAAAATGACCATTTGACACCTGACTGTAAAGGGCATTCCTACCCTCATACACATGGTCTTATTTGTTTTTGTTTTTAAGAAAACAGTATAAGAGTGTCAAATATTTCTATCTGTTTCTATAACTTAGGATTCATACTATATGTGACATACCATTATTGTCTTTAACACTCGTCTTCACTGACTGTTGATCTGATTTCACTCCATGAATTTCTATCTTTAAAAATGGATCGATTATCTCCCCTTTCTTAGAGTTGTTTGGCTTTGGAATCTGATAAGCACTTATTACCTACAATCAAAAACATATAAATTTATGAGTTTAAGGATGTTGATTCTCATGTTTTACCCCATTCCTAGCAACCACTCTGGCTTTACCCTATTCCTAGCAACCACTCTGGTTTTTTCTTAGTCTAAGTATTGAAAACTTCAACCAGTTATAATTCCACGTATTGTTCCTTGTTTTAATAATTCAATGAATAAGGAAAACAAATTTGACTTTATTTTTTCTCATGAAGAATGTGACATATTAAAGATTATTGTTAATGAAATAATTAAGTGAGATGTATTATGATTGAAACAACCATAAAAGTTGTGCATGACTTGTGGCTCTGTAGAATGTATAAAAACATAGCCACACTATGGCTAAGGATGTAACCGCTACTCTGTTTCAAAATAACAAGCTTTACAAAAGACTGTTATAAAATGATAGTATATAAATATAAAACAAAAAAGCAGAAAAAAATGAAGGGTCCGTGTGCTTGTTTTCTAGATAATAGCCATTAAAAATTTGGCAGGAAATGATCCTCTCTAGATTTTTCGTACTTTTAACATTGTCCGCTTTTCTCTTTTAAAAACTATGAAAAAATAACAAGGATTTTATAAGATTTTCAAATATGGCTTTTAAAACTATATGTAATAAAATTATGAAAAGAAAAGTAGGGGTTAGTGGACAAAATTTTTTAATAGCAAAACCTGGATAAAACCAGAGGATTCCGAACATCTGGCAAAAATTCAAATACAAGAGGAGCAAACATCCTTAAAGTGGTGAAGTTAAGTGTCGTAAGAGTTCCATGCTCTCTGCAAATTCAAAAACCCTTGAAATAACAGGCTAGGGGAGGGTTGGGTGCCTGCTAACATGTTTAACCCTGCCACATTCTGTATGTGCCTGTCCAAAGTCAGGATCCTGTAATTCAGTGGTTGTCGATTGTTTCTGTGTATCATATTTGTTTTTCGTTCATTATTTTGTACATAAATTAGGCCGTTAGTTTTCTTGTTTGAATTTGTTTTACATTTGTCATATCGGGGCCTTTTATAGCTGACTGTGTGGTATTGGTTTTGCTCATTGTTGAAGGCCATACGATGACCTATAGTTGTTAATTTCTGTGTCAATTGGTCTCTGGTGGAGAGTTGTCTCATTGGCAATCATACCACATCTTCTTATTTTTATAACTTACTTTAACTATTAATTTCCTTCGCTTTGGATTTTTAATTTTCTCTGTAACTATACCAAACTTGTCACCTAAAATAAACAGACACAAAATGATTAAAGATTTTATAATAAGTAATTGGATGCAATGAAAACAATGAATATTCATCTTTCATATTCTTCAATATAAAAGTTTATTTAAAACTGACCAATGAGTGATATAGTGTAACCCTGAACTTAGCTTTCTTTTCTTTCTATTAAAATTGTGTCTAAGGAGGAGGAGTTGGAATAACTTGTATCTAATCATTTTTGCAATAATTTGCAAAAAAAGTATGTTTAAACTAAACCAACTCAATTCTTTCACATTTAGACTTTTCTAGTCGTCTTTGAATTGACTTTTCTCTTACTGTGTCCTTGTATATTTGAACAGTGAACTACACTCTTTCATATCAGGACAACCCTGCTCCACATGTGGCACCTATCATGTTGCTCATGTTAGTACAAACCGGTAATAAGTCTAATTCGGTAGGTCACATTCGGGAAAAGGGGGAGCAATGCATGGAGTCACGTGATCTGTATTAATTTAATCAGATTGGTCATTTTGAGGCATCAAACAAGGGTAGACCCTAAACACAAATATTTTTTATTTGGACAGATTCATGATAAGATAGTTTTACCTTCTACAATGAAGTAGCTAACTAAACTAACTGTAAGTTTTTATAAAGGAGTAGGTCCAGTAAGACCCCTTTTTGGCCCCAAAATATAGCAGTTTTACAAAATTGTTAAAATGTAAACTTTTAGCTATTCATTGGAAAGTAGAATACTTCTGTTACATACATATGGGCTGTTTTTGATAATACAATGCATATTTATTGGGTACTAGCATCATTAAGTCATGCTAAATTACTGAAATCTTCATAATTTTAGCATTTGAGTTAATTTTTAGACGGTTCCGTCTTAAATGGACGTGGCCGCATTTGTGTTCATTCTTAATATTTAAATGTAAGTTGTATTTGATGATAATACATAACATATATAAAGGTTGAGGATGAACACAGATGCCGCCACTTTCATTTTTGACAAAAACCATCTGAAAAGTGACATATTATGGCATATTTGATAGATTTATAACATTTAAGCTTGAATATGAGCGTCTTTAATGACTAAATCAGTTCAAATCTTTCACATTAAAAAATTGATTCTACTAAAGTAGACACTTAAGTGTTTAAAAAGTGTCCAAAATCTTTCATCAGATGAACCAGAAATTTGGGGCCAAAATCGGCCCTTACCGGACCTACTCCTTTACTTACTTGACAAAAGGAACTGTGGCTTCAGTAAGTATCCACATCCTCCATTATCCATAAATTTCCCATGATTCAATTGCAATGGTTCACCACCTGTCTGGAAATTCAGGGCAACTAAAACAAAATCAAAAAGTGAATCATTATAGGGTAAAAATAGTTCCAGTTAAATACTGTATGTCATATACTTTCATACTTAAGATAGAATATTGTTGCAAACTTTAAATTTTGCAATCATTTCTCAATATTAAAAGCTAACTATATGTATTATTTTTGTCTACTTACTTTACAGGGTTATAAACAAATGAGATCAATATTGAAGATTATTTTGTCACCATGCAAGTGCAATCTTTTGATTGTCTGATTCTTGTTTTGAATAAGTTATATTTCTAAATCTATTGGTCCCTAGCTGCATACTGAGACTTCTAATTAAAAAAAAATCTCCATGTATTTATTACTAAAAATAAAAATTAAAACTGTCTTAACAAACTTGTGATACCATAAATTTGGTTATTTTTGCATCTGGCTTGTTCATGGTTGATTCATTAGATCATGGGACCATTCCATTTAAAATCTGGACAGGAGGAGTGGATGGTTACCTTGTCAAAGACCCCCTTAAGAAAATTTTCAGGCACATTTCAATCCCTCAGATGCTTGGCTTAAAACCCCTCAGATGCCAAATTGTGCCATCAACCCCTCATTTTTACATATTTAGACAAGAAAAGACCACACAGAAACAAAAAATGGGTACATCTCAGATACATTTTGAGCCAATCGATACCCCTAAGAAATGACTTTTGTTACCCCTCAGAAAAAAACATACACCCCCCCTTTTCAGTTATTAAATGGAATGGTCGAAAGTAAAACCTATGCTGTGCACAACATGTAAATCAGTGTTCCAGCTAGCATGAAATGGAGGGGCGCTGCACCCTGCCCCCGAAATTTTGTGCCCCTCTGCCTTTTTTAAGCGCCCCTCTGCCCCTCTGTGCCCTTTTGAAAAAAGTTTAAAAAACGATCTTTTTTCCTCATATCGTCGCCATTTTGTTGAGTTCTTTATACACACACTTCATTAAGACAACAGATTAAAATTGTTGACACTTGTTACCTGTATATAATCACCTATTTGATTAGAGTCAATTACTTAATCAGGTGAAATTTACGACCCTGTCTAATCCCTTTGCCCTGAAGCACCAAACATCCAAGTTAAATGAATTGATTTTTTAACACCTGACGATGCAAAATAGAATTTATAAAATAAATGTGAACGATGTTCATTTCTATTGTATTTGTTATTTATAAAATAACGTTCATTAAATTGTAAATGTGTCTGAGTGTTTTCCTAATAAATCTAAAAATCTATTAAAAAAGAATCATTCCAATAGTATATTGTAAATCGTCAACACGCAAAATGCCGATGAAAAAAAGAAAAAATGACCAACTCGAAAATGACAAGAAGAAAATATAAAAGACTTGCCAGTCTATTACATCTTTTTTTCAAGAATAATGACCATCAAAGGTAAAAAAATAATTTAATTCTTTACTTCTTTAATAAACAGTGAAATCTTCGGGTAAGATAAAATTTGACATTGTCAACAAAGTAAATAATGAAAATTAGACACACACTTTTCTCTATTATTTAACCTACCAACTTGGCATCCAACATTCCACATTGGTGTAGGATTATAGTTGCTTGAGTCTGTTCTTGAACCAGCGGGGTAAGTACGGACAAACAGTTTCTGTGTCAGTTTGTTCAGTCCTTCTGGGTCATGGTCTATTATCTTCAACACTTTGTTTTCACCAATGGATGCAAACATTCCATCTGAAAAGGAATTGAAAATTTTTTTTTAAATAAGAATGACTTTTTTTTCCTTATATTGTATTTCAATGCAAGTAAGATCTTCTTTTCATCTCTGACTTATATTCTTATCTAGGGTAAATTAAAAATATCTTAGGAGTGTATTTTGTTATTAAAGATAGATAACATTTATTTCAGCTATGATTGTTAAGTATTCATGTGAAATTGAATTGAAATAATCTGTGGTATAGTACTTAATTGGAAGCTGAGAAGTTATTTATGAAAATTTAATTATTGACAAAAACTTTCATTGATCTTGTTTCAGTTATGTCCCTTTATATAGGTAAAACTCTTGGCCCAAGATGGCAAAGAACAGTATTATTTTGTAGTGCACTTATTTTAGACAATTAAAACACAAATTAAAAAAAAAATTTCACCTGCTCTATTTCAAGATTTTTACAGTGTAGTGATTGTAAAATATTAACCCTTTTCAACCAGACCAATTCATTGTTTTCTTTACATTACGAATTCATTTTTTTTTATATGTGTAATTTCATCCCTACTTACTATTTCATGCATAAAACATAAAGAAATATATTTGGAAGATGTATAAAAAAAAAAATGCAAATTATCTACTGTCTACACTAGAGATAATAATGGTAGACAATGAAAATAAGATAACTGTGTCTACGTACCTCTTAACTACTTAAAGCTATGAAAAACTTCGATTATTTGTGGCAACATTTTATGATGTTGATTAAAAACATGGTGAATTCAGTACACTTAAGATTGGTTTGAGATTGTCATTTCCATCTACCTGCAAGGGGATTGGGCACAGAGTGGACAAATCTTCTAGATGGTTATAGATTGGACATGCATTAGTCCCTTCAATCACCTGAGCTGAGGTGAAAAATTCTACCTGTTGCTAAAGTTTCCTCTATCCCTTTATAACTAACAGCCTTCATTCCAACAATTGCTGAGAATTTGGGAGATAACTTCAATTTTGACTTTTTCTTTGTTGCCCGTTCTTTCTCCTGTGAGGTTGCGTCTTGTACCTCAGCTGCCTCATCCTCGTCACTGACTTCATGTTCCTCTTCATCTTCTGGCACTGTGTTTCCTACTGTAGCAAGTCTTTTACCCTAGAAACAATATATAAATGTACTTAACTTTATAATGTTCATAAGGAGTAAATCACTGTTCCAACCTCTTTTAGGGGGTGGACAAGGGGTCCATGATTCCAACTTCCCTCCCTTACTCTCAACAAAAATCAGTCAAAGAAACTTTTCCAGCTTATCCCTATATTTTACTCCTGATTCCTTCCCACTGACTCTTGCTTACATCCCCCTATTCCCAGATTCCTTTATCCTTGTCCAACCACTCCTTTTTATTGACATTTTGGTAGCATTCCATTTTTTTGTTGTTATTTTTTCATATAAGAACATAAATAAGGATATCTAGGGCTGTTAAAATTTGGACTATAAATGACCATTAAATGTAAATCTTGCTTGAAGATTGTAACTAGATTAGTGTCAAGTTTTAACACCAAAGTCTATTATGTGTTCAAAATATTCAATTGAAATGGAAAAAAGGGGGAGGGGTCATTTTTAGAATGTTAATAGAGGTTTTATGCTGAGGATGATAAAACCATTTTTTGCATAAATCAGCTGAAAAATGTTTACAGAAGTGGTATAAAGCATTTAAAGCAATTTTCCTGTTTATTATTTCTAAAAAAAGATGCTAAAGTTGTCTACTGAGATATCAATCTACAGAAAAAGTAGTTTGTCAAAAGTCAGAGGTATTTGGTATTAGATTGCTTAGACATATATATATAACTTGGGTTCACTGATCTGAACACAATTCTATGTAAAATATATCATTTACTCCAACAAAAATGTTCTCTAAAATTGAATTGATGCATTTATGTATACATTTTTCAATACACTGGCAAATACCATATATTCCCAGATTTTATTGTTTACTGGTACCCCAATTGAAAATTAACTGCAGCAACAGTTATTCAACAAGAATCCAGCAGCATTTCATTTGACCCAACAAATTTCGAAACAGAAAGCTGGATTCCTGTTATGCAGTTCTATTGTTGCTGTGAACAATTCATTTGGTTCCAGTTAAGCCCAATATCTGATAAACGAAGAAATACTACAACAATGAAGAGCTACACAGATGAATGCAGGTTGAGATTTTGTGCAAGTCTGCTCACACATAATGGTGATATCCAACTAAGTATTCTACTGTACATAACACATAAATAATGATATCCAAATCAGATTAAGAACTAATTGGAGGAGATTACACCAAAGTAGATTTTCCATGGGGATCGAGGACAAAAAATTAACGTTAATCATACATTTTTTATAGAAAAATTCTGTGCTCATCTTACAATTTGTTGTCATCAAATACAAAGTAAAGGTTACGGGTCAAAAGGGTCAGTTAGACTCTATTAAAATTAATCTGTATCTTCTTGTATGACATTTTGTGGTTGCTAATATCATTTTCAACTTTATCAATATATTAAGGATGCATTTTATAAAAAGTTCCAAATGGTGAAGTTGAAATCATCCCTTTCGTAAATTTTACGGACGCCATCACGAGTTGGTTGACCGTTATGGAATAACCGTTTCACAGATGATATCGGATATGTTCCTTATGTCGTAACTACAATACCCTTCCCTTTTCACGAATGTGACTTACCGAATTAGACTATTTACCGGATTTGTAATAACATAAGCAACACAACGGGTGCCACATGTGGAGCAGGATCTGCTTACCCTTCCAGAGCACCTGAGATCACCCCCAATTTTTGGTGGGTTTCGTGTTGCTTTGTTTTTAGTTTTCTATGTTGTGTCATCTGTACTATTATATATATTTGTCTGTTTGTCTTTTTATTTTTGGCCATGGTGTTGTCAGTTTGTTTTCGATCTATGAGTTTGACTGTCCCTCTGGTATCTTACATCCCTCTTTTATAAAGTTTTTTAATCAGTTTAAAGTCTGTATTCTAAATGTTTTGTGTTGATGTTACTAATTAATATGTCTATTCCAAAATTGACCTGTTAATTAACAGGATCTGCAATTCAATGAAATTGACTCTTTACTGACCTCTTTGATAAAGTTAGCTTAAGTCAGCTTATGGTTATTTTTAGTACTGCAAAAAACTTCTTTATTAGTAATATTTTAGACAACTTTTTTAAGGCTTGTACATAAAACATTTAAACACAAATCTTCTTGGATAGGGAAATACACTACAGATTGGGTGGATTTGATCATCTCCATCAATCCATGACAGAAGGAGGCAGAGTGGGCAAAATTTCTAGGTGGTCAAAAGTGCTCTATAGTGAAGTGGACATTCCATTTCTTTTCTGTCTTCTTAAGAATTAAACAAACAATGCATTTAGAAAAAATGAGTTAAGTTTATATTAATTTAATATTGTTAAAAAATCTGAGGTTGAATTTAAGCGGCAGGAGTTGGCTGTTGCACAAGGCAAACAAGACTGTGTTTTAAAAGTGCAATTTGTAATTTTCATTTCCAGGTAAATAAGAGAATGCATTTTAAAAGCACTGTTTTATTTTGCAAGCAAACAAAGGTCAATGCAGACACAAAAAAAAACAACAGAAAAACAGACACATTAAAAAGCAAAACATAAGATGTGCTACACAAGATTAAATAATTCTAATTCTATTTACCGTCTCGTCACTGAGTTTTCCTCCCAGTAAAAAGAAAAACAAATAAAGCTAATAATAACAAGGCATAATATAAAATGCAGATTTAAACACATTTTGTTGCAAACAAAAGCCAATCTAGTCAATGTCTAAATTATTCAGTACAATAAAGTATAATAAAAACATATTTAATTTGAATTTTAAATCAGTTTAAAGTTCGAAGATAAATATCCAAAACCAGATGCAGATCAAATAAAACTATCAATTTTTATTTTTTGCAATGGCAAGCATTATTTTCATAAAAGAGAGAACTAACACCAAAAGTTCAAAAGTGGCTGCTATATTCTTCTTCTTGAGAGAGTTAAAATAAAATAAATCCATCACAAGACCAGCTTTTGGCTATCAACAAAGATGTTTTAACCATTAAATTTGAAATTCCAAATGTGGCATGGTTTTACATGATGATTTTATGTTAATTTATTTTGCAGCTAATTGTTAAAGTATCTGATGCGAAATTGATTTGACATGCAACATACTAGCAGAAAAAAAAGGCAACAATTGCAGCAATTGTGAGCCTGAATATTCTTCCTTAAGATGTAAATACTCTGCCTAGTAAATGTGGGGTCTAAAAGTCATTAGTACAAGTCAAATATAAAATTAAAGTTATCTCTCTTTGGCCATTCTAATCCTCAGACAGCCACATTAGTCTAGTTTACAAAATACTAAAAATGGTAAATTCAAGGGAATTCAAGCTTTTATAAATGTTTGTGCCACAGAAGACATAACCTTTTTCAAGATGGCTCATGTTATATTTAACTGAACAAGACTACGCTATTGTGGTCAATCAGCTGTGTCCATGCAAATAAGAGAATTAATACTTCGTGAATATAAAACTTTAAATATAATAAACTTTTCCTTTCATTTTCTTCTACACAACCCAGCTTTTACTCAACTCTTCTTCGTCTATATGCTTGTAAGTGAATAAAAAAAAAATCAACTATCTAATTTATATTTAAAAAACATTTTCAAAGGAAACCAGGAAAAAATTACAATATGTAATAATATATATATATATTTACCTTGAGAATAATTTTGCCCATGAGATCACTTGGAGATGGGATGGTTGCAGGAGGCTCTTCAGGGGCATATAAGAGATCTGTAAACAAACAGAAGATATATATATATATATATATATAGAGTGCGTTTTGTTAAAATATACTTTTTCACTTTTTTGGTCTTTTGGAAAATGTTGTTTGTGCTGTATTTAGACCCCTCTACAAAGAAATTTGTTTTGCATGCACACGTATAAAAATTGCGGTTTTTATCCAACGCAATCATAGGTTTGAACGTTGTTTTCAATTTAGACTTGTATATATATATATATATATATATAGTGTCACAAACAAAATATTTGTGATATTTATTACTTTGGGAATCTTCTAGGTATAAATTTTCATACATTTGTAGCAAACATACAATTTTGAATAAAACTCATTTTAAAAAGTTATATGTTATCAATAAGATTTGTAAAAAGTTAAAAAGTTAAAAATAACATTAGTATAAATTAAAATGTTGTCAATAAGATTTGAACAGTCTGTGAAGAATTAAACTTTCTTATTTGATAAGAAAATCTGTTAACCAAAAAATCCAATAAATTATTTAACCCAACATCAAGCAATTTGTTAATTTAAATTTAAAAGAAAAAACAAAATTTTTTAAAACAACACAACAACTAAAACATTAAAATTCAGTCAACATTCAAGTGATAGTGATCTGTTTAATGTTAATGTATACAGTCACAGTGACCTACTTACCTCCAAAGATGGCATTTACTTTGTTAGCCATAACAGCTTGTTGTTTGACAGAACAATGATTTTCTATTGAAAGTATGACAGGATACCTGTGAATATATAGAAAAACAGATTATTTTTACAAAATTTAACAACAAGAACTCTAATATAAATAAACTCATCATAGATACCAGGATTAAAATTGTGTATGCCAGGCGAGTGTTTCATTTACAAAAGACTCATCTGTGTCAAAAAAAGTTTAAAAGGCCAAATAAAGTACAAAGTTGAAGAGCATTGAGGACCCAAAATTCCAATAGACCACAGTGAACTCAGTTGCTCTGGAAGGATAAGAGGTACCAGCACCACTGGTGGCACTTGTGGTGTTGCTAATGCTAAAATCCAATGTTTGCGCCAATTAAGCGGAGACTTAATCATGACTTTAAGGTAAATGAGAATGAGATTACATTTATAATATACGAAACATATTTATAATCATCTTTGACAGATACTACATAAGATTCCATCAAATTCTGATGATGTCTGTAAAACATTCAAGGAAATTACCTCAAATTTCCCATTAAGAACCCTACTTAAGGTGTCATAGTAACTTTAAATAACAAGAATGTGTCCATAGTACACGGATGCCCCACTCGCACTATCATTTTCTATGTTCAGTGGACCGTGAAATTGGGGTCAGAACTCTAATTTGACATTAAAATTAGAAAGATCATATCATAGGGAACATGTGTACTAAGTTTCAAGTTAATTGGACTTCAACTTCATCAAAACTAGAGGCTCTCAAGAGCCTGTGTCGCTCACCTGTATTTACTGATGCTATGGAAATCATGTAAAATAAGGTTAAAATCATAATTAATAGTATTAGATATTAGATATTATAATGGTATCTAAGATAATAACAAAAAACTGCAAAACTTATGTAAAATTACTAACTCAGGGGCAGCAACCCAACAACGGGTTGTCGGATTCGTCTGAAAATTTCAGGGCAGATAAATCTAAATCTGATGAACATTTTTGCCACCTGTCAGAATCGCTCTAAATGCTTTAGTTTCAGAGATATAAACCAAAAACTGCATTTTACCCCTATGTTCTATTTTTAACCAAGTCGGCCATGATGGTTGGATGGCGGGGTCATCAGACACATTTTTTAAACTAGATACCCTAATAATGATTATGGCCAAGTATGGTTAACTTTGTTTCAGTAGTTTCAGAGAAGAAGATTTTTGTAAAAGATTACAAAAATTTACGAAAAATTGACTATAAAGGGCAATAACTCCGAAAGGGGTCAACTGACAATTTTGGTCAGGACGACTTATTTGTAGATCTTACTTTGCTGAACATTATTGCTGTTTATAGTTTATCTCTATCTATAATAATATTCAATATAATAACCAAAAACTGCAAAACTTCCTTAAAATTATCAATTTAGGGGCAGCAACCCAACAACAGGTTGCCAGATTTGTCTGAAAATTTCAGGGCAGATAGATCTTGACCTGATAATCAGTTTTATCCTGTCAGATTTACTCTAAATGCTTTGGTTTCAGAGATATAAGCCAAAATCTACATTTTACCCCTATGTTTTATTTTTAGCCATGGCGGCCATCTTGGTTGGTTGGCATGGTCATCGGACACATTTTTTAAACTAGATACCCTAATGATGATTGTGGCCAAGTTTGGTTAAATTTGGCCCAGTGGTTTCAGAGGAGAAGATTTTTGTAAAAAGCTAACAACGACGGACGAAGACATCGACGACGACGACGGACGACGGACGCCAAGTGATGAGAAAAGCTCACTTGGCCCTTTGGGCCAGGTGAGCTAAAAAGCTGTTTCACACAATCCCATTTTCATGTTCAATGAACCGTAAAATTTGGACCAAAACCCAAATTTGCCATACTTTTTAGAAAGTCCCAATCATAATGACTATGTATGCAAAGTTACAAGTGGATGCAACTATAACTTCATCATAAACTACCTTGACCAAATCTTTAACCTGACACGGGACAGAAGGACGAACAGATGGATGAACGAACGAACGAACGAACGAAGGAAGGAATGGACGCACAGACCTGAATACATAATGCCCCTTCTTCTATCGTAGGCGGGGCATAAAAATCTAAGTTTTCTGCTATTCGTCTGCATCTTTTCAAACACACATTAAAATTTGAAATTTCACCTAAAAATTCAACATCCGATGTCAATTTTGTTAATTTCTCTGCAAGAAAAATTTGAATTCTTATCTTGACAAATTTTATTGGTAAATTGTAATAAAAATTAAAGAACCTTAGTGAGTGCCCTCACATACCCCACGTCCCCACATTGTCATTGGAGAAATAAAATATGTGTAAGAAAAAAATTTGTATAAGAAAAAAAAATTGAATCATAATTTCCTGTCAATATGCACATCTACATAGTATGTCCTTATTATCTACAAAGTTTCATGAAATTATGTTGTGTGGTTTCAGAGGAGTTGCGATGACAAACTGTTGCAGAAGTACATTGAAGCAAATAAGTTCAAAGGGGCATAACTCCTAGAAAAAAAATTGAATCATAATTTCCTGTCGATGTGCACATCTACATAGTATGTCCTTATTATCAACAAAGTTTCATGAAATTCTGTTGTGTGGTTTCAGAGGAATTGTGATGACAAACTGTTGCAGTAGTACATTGAAGCAAATAAGTTCAAAGGGGCGTAACTCCTAGAAAAAAAATTGAACCGTAATTTCCTGTCGATATGCACATCTACATAGTGTGTCCTTATTATCTAAAAAGGTTTCATGAAATTCTGTTGTGTGGTATCAGAGGAGTTGCGATGACAAACTGTTGCAGTAGTACATTAAAGTAAATAAGTTCAAAGGGGCGTTACTCCTAGAAAATATTTAAATCGCAATTTCCTGTCGATATGCACAACTACATAGTATGTCCTTATTATCTAAAAAGGTTTCGTGAAATTCTGTGATGTAGTTTGAGAGGAGTTGCGATGACAAGAAACAGGACTGACGGACTGACGGACAGACGGACGTACAGACGGACAGACAGACGGACGGGTCAAAAACATTATACCCTCCGCAACCCGTTGCATGGGGTATAAAAATAAACATGAATTGTAATTGACTTGTGGGGAAAAAGTTGATGATAAAAACAAACTATAAGCTATATTTCTCTTATGGAAACCAAGAAGAAAATTTAAGTTGTAAATGTGTTACCATGGAAACGAAGATATTTAACTTACGGTGATGCTTGGAATGCATATTCTTTTATTGCTGTGATGACATCATGGAAAAGAATTTTGGATGTTAATGTGTAACCATGGTAAATAACAGGCTCATCGTCAGGCCCATCCCAACAGTCCACTGAAAGAAGAGAAAGATCTTATACTTATGTTGCCATAGTAACCAATAAATATGTAACCATGGTAAATAACAGGTTCTTCATCAGGACCATTTATACAGTACACTGTAGAAGAATAAAATCATATATTTATGTTGCCATAGTAACCAATAAATGTGTAACCATGGTTAATAACAGGTTATTCATCAGGACCAATTATACAGTTCACTGAAGAAGAATAAAATCATATATTTATGTTGCCATATAAGGTAACCAATAAATGTATACTGGTAACCATGGTAAATAACAGGCTCTTTACAAGGATCATTTTAACAGTCCACTGAAGAAGAATAAAAGAACAGAGTTCCAATGTCCCCCGTGTTGCACATATTTCATCTGTTCTGTCCAAGGACAATAACTAAAAAAAATTTTTTGGTTCTTTAAAACTTTTTAAAATTATCTTGCTTTTGAAATTGTCTGAGACATTGATGTTATATACCTTTGGTTATGAATTTAATAAAAATCTGGCAAATATTGTACATGCGAGAGCACTTAAAATGCAATTTTTCATATAATCAATGTTTCCAAGGGGCATAATTCTTTTAAAAATAATTGATCAGCACTGATTTTCGAACTTGTTAAAGACATTGCTAATATAAACATATGATAGTAGTTTCATAAAATTCGGGCAAGAATTGTACATGAGAGCGCTTACGATGCAATTTTCCAAATTATTAATGTTTCCAAGGGGCATAACTCAAATAATTGATCGGCACTGATTTTCGAACTCGTCCATGACATTACTGATATAAACCTATGAGATAAGTTTCATTGAAATTTGGCAAGAATTGTACACTTGAGAGCGCTAACAAAACAGACAGACACACAGATGGACGGACACCCGCCCGGCATTTCTATGTCCCCCGCAAAGTAGTGTGCAGGGGACAATAAAATCATGTATTTATGTTGCCATAGTAACCAATAAATGTACTATCATAATAAATTACAACCTCATTATCAGTCAATAAACACTTCAATAAAAAGTAGAATGTATTTATGTTGCAATAGTATTAAATTACTACTTTAATGAACTGAAACTTCCCATGGTAAATTACAAGCACATAGTCAGAAAGATGTCTTTTTTGTTAGGTTTTTTATTGGGTTGCTGTCTCATTGACCTCAAACCAATTTTCCTTTTATTCAGATTAAGTACTTACATTCTACACATCTACATCCATTTGATAGAGCTGTTATATAGGCCTCTACTTTACTGGGACCTTTCAACTGATCCTCTTGTAAATATCTGGTAAAAAAAAGTCATATTGTTAATGCAATTTCATATTTTGCTCATTCACAACATGGATAATAAACAATATCGTTTGTTACTATATATCATATTTCTTTTTTCGTTCATTATTTTATACAAAAATCATATTGTTAGTTTTCTCGTTTGAATTGTTTTACATTTGTCATTTCAGTGCCTTTTATAGCTGACTATGGGGTATGGGTTTTGCTCATTGTTGAAGGCCGTACAGTGACCTACTGTTGTTAACTTCTATGTCATTTTGTCTCTTGTGGAGAGTTGTCTCATTGGCAATCATACAACATTTTCTTATTTTTATATTGAATAAGAGTTTATCTTGATCTTTCATGAAGACGCAAATATAGATTCTAAATTCTATCAAACATCTTCTATGGTAAAAATGAACATCCTGTAGCTCATTTTTCAAAAGGATTAAAATGATCATGCTATATATGTCAGTGAAAATTAATATGTGAGTGATCGATAATTACTTGTATATCAAATGGTCTTTCCTCAAATTCCAAACAGAAAATGATAAATGTATATATGAAAACACATGGCTAAAATCTAAATATATGTGAAAAGTTTTGCTACCTATAATGTATATTTAAAATGAAATAAGAACACATATTTTTGCACCAAACATCAAAACAACAAAATTAGAATTATGTTTGCAATCTACTTCTATGAGACATAGCTTGTCAATCATCCTTCAAAGGTGGGTTGTTTCTTCAGGCACTCCATTTATCTCCATAAGTGTATAGAACAGAGGATCAAATCCCAAGAAATATACAACATATTTTCTTATTTCAAAATTATTTTATGTTATCTATTATGTTTCTTTATATAAATAAGAAGATGTGGTATGAGTGCCAAAGAGACAACTATCCATCTAAGTCGCAATGTGTAAAAAGTAAACTTACGTATTATGCGATGAATTTACAAAATAATGAGTAACAGGTCTGTTCATATCTTGATAAACTCTGGTATGAGCAGGTTTAAATATCTGTTGATCTTTAGAGCAAAGAAAACACCTAAAACCTACAATAGTAAAAGCAATTTTGAAATTAAATTGTCTCCCCTTGATTATATATTTTAAACATTTTTTCTGAGTTATTTGCCCTTAGTCTATCAATGAAATAATTCATCATAGTAATAAGAGACTAAAAAGTAATCAAAATCTCTGGATGTCTTTGTTTTTTGTGTTGTTAGTTTGCTGTCTTATTGATATATCTACCCAAAATCTCAATATCAACATCAATTCAGATTATATCACAGTTTCTATATCAATATCAATTCATGTGACAGTTTTAGCATTGCAGTAATAACACCTTATACATTTTATTCTAATAAAATCATTCCTGTTTATATCCCTTAAAATTTATTTATCTCCCAATTTGTAGACATAATTTATTTAAAATTCACCTTTCTTAATTATTCATAGTTGTAAACAACTAAAAGTTAATGGTGGACGGCCATTTGTCTTTTGTTTGGGTGGGGGGGAACAATTTTTAATTACAAACTATTTCTTTCTGTAAAAAATAGAAACAAGAATGTCCCGTCATGGCCAGTTTGGGGAAATGGATAGGCAAATGCTCACATTAAATCTGTGACGAAACAGTGTGCTAAATGTCCTCCTTTACACCATAACTCATGGTGGTGCTCCTAATGAAAGGAGGCTTATACGTATCATACAATACAATACAGTAATTTTTTTTATAACTGAACTTCATATTTATTTTTTTCCCTAATTTTCATTTCCTCTCTGAAACAAATTATAATTTTGTCTATGAAATGTAAAAATCAAACAATATACTTGATGAAAATCACAAATCCAAGCATCTAATCAATTCCAATGTATTAATTATTTTCTATTAAAATGTAAATAACTGTAAACATTTAAACTTGGTAACCATAAAAAAAATTGTTTCAAATATTGGTTTATCCTGGGTTGTTTGGTAAATTTGTGGCAGTAAAATCTATGTTTTGCATAGGCCTAGCTAAAAATATAATAAAAATATCTTTTTTTGGTTTGTGCTCAGACATGTTTCTGGATAATAAATGAAATTTCTTACCAATAAGACTCATTTGATCTTCTAGCTGCATATTTTTCTGAGGTTCATAAGCTGCTATATATTCCTTGGCTTGATCTTCACTTACATTCTCCTGTATAACAAAATAAAATATACAGTTCAAGATTATGATAAAAAATTATAAGATTCAGGATTACTTTTTTAAAAAGTGTCACTTGTACACTCTTTAGTCTTATTTTAACATAAAAAACTTGGAGTTCAAGATTATGATGCAAATAATATTATTCTTTTCTACATATAAAGTGATGAATACATAAACAGTTTTTAATATATCAATTGCCTCATTCAAATAATTTTTTAAAGTTAATTGTCTTCATGAATTAAGAAAATATGTGTGTTGTGTTGCTTGCTTTTTATGAATAAATTTTATAAAGATATTTTTTGCTCCTGGATTTCTTAGTTTTTGGGGGGGACTTTTCTTTTCCTTATTGGGTTACCACACTAGTTTAAACTCTTCTCTTCATAATAGCCTTTGGAGGCTTGAATAAATCCTTGAATCTTTGTCCTCTATATTAAGTTTCTTAGCTTTTTTAGATTTTCTATTACCTTTTGTTGTTCCTTCATGAACCTTTGAAGATCATCAGCTGTAAAATAACCTTTACCGCCATCATACCTGAAAGAAAATAAAAAAATTCATAAAGATTTCCAGTGCTTTAAAATTTCCTAAAATTAATTCATATTTCAATATTACTGAGAATAGTTCAAAGTTCAAATATTACAGGTACATATGAAGTTTTGATAGAAAAACAAAGGCTATGGGGTATCCATCCATGACACAAAATTAATACATACACAGCAACAACAACAACAACAAAAAAAAAAAAAAAAAAAAAGAAAAAAAAAAAAAACATACAAAAAGCAAAGGAACAGAGCTTTTATTGCTGTTCTTCATCTCAAAATCACAGTGAGGCCTTCAACACGGGGGCTAAAAAAATTTAACATGTAAATAAAATAAACAGAATTTTTTCAGCTTTTAATTTTTCACTATTTTGTAAATCAATCAAAGCAGATTCAAGGGTATATAATCCTAAGGTTTTTAATAAAATTATTATATTGCTTTTTAACATTTTTTCAAGAGTTCTATATTAGAGAATTTTGTAAGTAAGTGAAAATGAAATTTTTGCATAAAAAAATTATGAAAAGAAGAATGTGTCCATTTCACAGTATACCCCGGCTTGCAAATATGCAAGAGCCACTGTAGTAAAGTAAAAAGTGCAGAAACATCAAAACATCAAATTCAGCAATTTTTCCATTTATGAAGGTACATAATTCGAGGAACAATGAAAGTGATCCCACTCACATTCAAACCCGATTTGCTTTTGGCTGTAAATTTGCTTTGTGTATAAATTTCATATCATTCGGTTGAGGCAAACTTAAGTTAAGAGAATGGAAACCAATTTTGGGATGTACGTGAAGACAGACAAGGGTAAACCTTAATGCCCCCTTAAATCATCATCCCTAAACAAGGCTCTTGGTTGGTAGATCTTTGGTAAGTCCCTTTGTAATTCATTTATAACTTGTCCACAGTAATTTGAGGAGCAAAATAAGAGCTTAACATACTAAGACACTTTGTCTATTTCAGGATTTATGATTTTTATCCTCCATGAGAAACTCAACCAGTGCACTTGGGAAGCAGGTACCGCTTACCCTTCTGAAGAACCTGAGTTCACCCCCACCTTTTGATTGGACTTGTGTTGCTCATGGTATCTAGTTTTCTGTGAAGCATTCCATGACCTTATCTTTTTTTTTGGCTGTGGTGTTGTCTGTCATTTTTAATTTATTGTTTTTGATTGTTATCTTGGTCTCCTCTTCCTTTTGTCTACATTTCTTTCAAATTTTACTTTGGTGAGTTGTAGTCTTTATAGAAAATTAAACCACATCTCCTTTTATTCATATTTTGTTAAACTTGACAACACACAATTGGATATCTTACTTGAGAAAAATTTCTTCTATTTCAATTCTTTCTGTTACCGAATGATAAAAATGTACAAATTCTTCAGCATCTAATGTTGATGTCTCTCCCATACCCTTGTTGGTGTCTGCTTTCTGCAAAATATAATCAAAATATAATTTTATTTTCATGTTATATAGTTATATTTATCTAACCACTTCTTTACGATGTCTGATGGTGTCCCACAAAAACTTCCTTATAGGAACCAAAAAAAACTGCTTCGCTGAGCGCAGCTTAAGATACGCCCGCAGAGGTCCAACCCTGAACAGTTGGGGCAAAAATGGACACAATATTCAAGCTTGATTCAGGTCTGAATTTGGATTGTAATTAAATATTTGACATATGATAGGTTTCTGAATAAATGTAGTCAAAGAACTTGAAATTGGTTATATGAATTGAATTTATATTCAATTAAAGATTTCTTGCTGTTGTGCAATAGTCCCCAATACTTAGTAAATCTGTTGTCAGACTATAAACAAATAAAGTTCAATTAATTCTCAATGTCATATTAGAAATTTATGGAAATAAAAAGGGAGCTTACATCAATAGATATAAACAAATCACCAAAGTTTCATGAGAATTGGTGACAGCATTTGTGAGTTATTGTCCGAAAACTGGAAAATCACCCCTTTTTTTAATGAATAAAACCCCATAACTCAGAAATGTAAAATGTAAAATTTATAAAATTCTAAAGGGAGCTTACATCAATACATACAAACAATTCACCAAAGTTTCATACGAATTGCTGAAAGAATTTTTTAGTTTTTGTCCGAAAACTGGAAAATCCCCCCTTTTTTTATGAATAAAACCCTGTAACTCAGAAACGTAAAATCTAAAATTTATAAAAATCAAAAGGGAGCTCATGTCAATAGATATAAACAATTCACCACAATTTCTTGCAAGTTGGTGAAAGCATTCTTGACTTATTGTCCGAAAACTGGAAAATCCCCCTTTTTTTAATGATTAAAACCCCATAATTCGGAAACGTAAAATCTAAATTTTATAAAAAACGAAAGGGAGCTCACGTCAATAGATATAAACAATTCACCAAAGTTTTATGCAAATTGGTATAAGCATTTTTGAGTTAATGTCCGACATGTTGACGACGGACAGACGGACAGAGGTATACCATAATACGTCCCATAAACGGGCGTATAAAAAGATAACATTATTCAAATTATTCCTCATAAAAAATTATGTCTTTAGTGGAACTGATGGAAACTACCCCTTTTCATCGATTATATAGTGCCATCTTGATACTGCTTGTAGGTGCATGTTTTTATTGAAAGATGTGAGTCCATAAGTTACCATAGAAACATAGAAAGATGTTGTATGATTGTCAATGAGACAACTCTCCAACAGAGACAAAATGACAAAGAATTGAACAACTATAGTTCACCATACTGCCTTCAACAATGAGCTACCATCCTGTAAGCTGAGTGGCACAGAAAAAAATTGACTGAGCATGTATTCTGTGGCTTCATTAATATTCGTGGTATACCAATTTCAATGGACAGTGGAAAACCATGAATATAAATATTTTATGAAATACAAATTTTGAACTACTTTAATAGGAGCAAAAGATGAAACCACAAAAAATTAAGTACCCTAGAAACATCATTTTTTTACTCCAACAACGATAATTGAAACTAGAGGCTCTCAAGAGCCTGTGTCGCTCACCTGACTCTACTTTGGTTTTAGAAATCATGTAAAGATAGATAAAAATCATAACAGATACCCAAATAATGATTGAGGCCAAATTTAAAATTTTTTGATTAATATTGGTCCCGTTATTTAATAAAATATCCTGGTGGCCATCTTGAACAGTAAATCGGCAACAAAGTAGCAACACTTGGTCAGCACTTCATGAGGAACATTCATGCCATGTTTGGTTTCATTCCATTCAGTGGTACTCTAAAAGAAGACATTTGTATGTATTTCCCATAGGGTCCTATGTTAAACTAAGCCCCCCCCCCCCCCCTAGCGGCCATCTTGGATGATGGATCGACTGCAAAGTAACAACACTTGGTCAGCAACTCATAAGGAACATTCATGCCATGTTTGGTTCAATTCCATTCAGTGGTTCTCTAAAAGAAGACAATTGTATGTATTTCCCATAGGGTCCTATGTTAAACTAAGTCCCCCGCTGTCGGCCATCTTGGATGATGGACCAACTGCAAAGTAACAACACTTGGTCAACATCTCATAAGGAACATTCATGCCATGTTTGGTTCCATTCCATTTATTGGTTCTCTAAAAGAAGACATTTTTATGTATTTCCCAAAGGGTCCTATGTAAAACTAAGTCCCCCGCTGGCGGCCATCTTGGATGATGGATCGGCTACAAAGTAACAACACTTGGACAGCATCTCATAAGGAAGATTCATGCCATGTTTGGTTTCATTCCATTCAGTGGTTCACTAAAAGAAGACATTTGTATGTATTTCCCATAGGTCCTTTGTTAAACTAAGTCCCCTGCTGTCGGCCATCTTGGATGATGGACCGACTGCAAAGTAACAACACTTGGTCAGCACCTCATAAGGAACATTAATGCCATGTTTGGTTTCATTCCATTCAGTGGTTCTCTAAAAGAAGACATTTGTATGTATTTCCCTTAGGGTCCTATGTTAAACTAAGTCCTCTGCTGGCAGCCATCTTGGATGATGGATCGGCTACAAAGTAACAACACTTGGTCAGCACCTCATAAGGAACATTCATGCCATGATTGGTTTCATTCCATTCAGTGGTTCTCTAAAAGAAGACATTTGTATGTATTTCCCATAGGGTCCTATGTTAAACTAAGTCCCCCGCTGGCGGCCATCTTGGATGATGGACCGACTGCAAAGTAACAACACTTGGTCAGCATCTCATAAGGAACATTCATGCCATGTTTGGTTCCATTCCATTCAGTGGTTCTCTAAAAGAAGACATTTTTATGTATTTCCCTTAGGGTCCTATGTTAAACTAAGTCCCCCGCTGGCGGCCATCTTGGATGATGGATCAGCTACAAAGTAACAACACTTGGTCAGCACCTCATAAGGAACATTCATGCCAAGTTTGGTTTCATTCCATTCAGTGGTTCACTAAAAGAAGACATTTGTATGTATTTCCCATAGGTCCTTTGTTAAACTAAGTCCCCTGCTGTCGGCCATCTTGGATGATGGACCAACAGCAAAGTAACAACACTTGGTCAGCACCTCATAAGGAACATTAATGCCATGTTTGGTTTCATTTCATTCAGTGGTTCTCTAAAAGAAGACATTTGTATGTATTTCCCATAGGGTCCTATGTTAAACTAAGTCCTCCGCTGGCAGCCATCTTGGATGATGGATCGGCTACAAAGTAACAACACTTGGTCAGCACCACATAAGGAACATTCATGCCATGATTGGTTTCATTCCATTCAGTGGTTCTCTAAAAGAAGACATTTGTATGTATTTCCCATAGGGTCCTATGTTAAACTAAGTCCCCCGCTGGCGGCCATCTTGGATGATGGACCGACTGCAAAGTAACAACACTTGGTCAGCATCTCATAAGGAACATTCATGCCATGTTTGGTTTTATTCCATTCAGTGGTTCTCTAAAAGAAGTCATTTGTATGCATTTCCCATAGGGTCCTATGTTAAACTAAGTCCCCCGCTGGCGGCCATCTTGGATGATGGATCGGCTACAAAGTAACAACACTTAGTCAGCACCTCATAAGGAACATTCATGCCATGTTTGGTTTCATTCCATTCAGTGGTTCTCTAAAAGAAGTCATTTGTATGCATTTCCCATAGGGTCCTATGTTAAACTAAGTCCCCCGCTGGCGGCCATCTCGGATGATGGATCGGCTACAAAGTAACAACACTTGGTCAGCACCTCATAAGGAACATTCATGCCATGTTTGGTTTCATTCCATTCAGTGGTTCTCTAGAAGAAGTTCAAAATGTAAAAAGTTAACGCCGACGACGGACATCGACGCCGGAAGACGGACGCCAAGTGATGAGAAAAGGCCAGGTGAGCTAAAAAATGAAAAATAAATGAATCAACAATATATGATATCGCCATGACACTGTCATAATGCTGTTTGACATTTAAAATGCATAACTGCCATTGAATTTTAAACTGCTGTCCATCAATCTAGAGCCAATCAACTAAATAATTAGACTTGCTTCAGGTCTATTCTTTTCTTTCTATTTTCTTTGTTTACCCCCTTTTACAAAAATGTTAATATGAAATTTATAACCAGTGTACAAACACCTGCAGACCAATTGTCCTATTGGACAATTAGTATTATTGTAGTTATCAGTAATCAAAATAGTTTCTTTATTGTGGATAGAGAACATTATTAACAAGAGTTCGACTCAAACATCTATCAATCAATCAAAGTGTCAAATTTCAAACTTTGTCAATGTCTTAAAATATCAATAATACTTACATCAAACAATGCATGAACATATTTCTTATCCATGTCTGCATTTAACTGTTTTAAAAGTTTCAATACTTCTTCAAAATCTAATCTCTCGTCGTTATTTTTATCAGCCATCATAAAGGCATCTCTGATCCATCTATGTACTGTTAAGGATTATCACTGATCTAAGTTGTATCTTTTTGAAATGACTTTTCATAAGTGTTTCTCATTTCTAGTTTTTTATATAGATTAGACCGTTGGTTTTCCTGTTTGAATTGTTTTACACTAGTCATTTTTGGGGCCCTTTATTAAGCTTGCTGTTCGGTGTGAGCCAATTAAGGCTCCGTGTTGAAGGCCGTACTTTGACCTATAATGGTTTACTTTTACAAATTGTGACTTGGATGGAGAGTTGTGTCATTGGCACTCATACCACATTTTCTTGTATCTATTGTCTTTATATTGTATGGACACATGTCAGATTGTTGAGGATTGAATGTTGACCTGTAAATATCTTGACTTTGTGTCATTTGATTACAGTCTCATTTATTAATACATGTATACTCCGAAACTCCTGCTTATTTATTCTATTGATACACCTTTTTTTTAACCAGCATGTTTATTGATGCTAACATAGAATTCTCAAAATTTCAAATCTTGGGCGCATCAGACGGCCCGAGAACACGTTATTTCGTAGTGCATTTCTTTTAGACAATAAATTCAAATAAAAAAAATCACACCTGCTCTATCTCAAAAAGATTTTTACAGTGTAGTGAACTACTTTAGGACAAATAGTATCAAAATTATAGAAAAGTCTACTAGCTCTAACTCAAAATATGGACAATTCTATGTTAAGAGGGTCTAAAATTCAGTTTGACAGCTTCAGACATACTAATTTTTGACCTTTTTCAACTGACCCACATCACTACTTAACATAAAAATTCAGCACCCAATTTTTTTAACATGTAATTTCATCCCCTTACTTAATATTTCATGCATAAAATATCAAGAAATGAATTGGGGAAAGTGTATGAAAAAAATTTGCAAGTTAAACACTGTTCACACTAGGGAATATATTTATAGACGAAAACCAAAGGACGATAACTGTGTCCTCGGACCAGACATTAGTTAACTGTGGACCTTGTAGTCATCTGCTTTAAATTTCTTGGGGTTGAGGGTCTAGCATATATTTCAGAATTTAGTATACACACTAAAAGGAATGGTATGGTAGTTTTATAGAATTCAAGTCATTAATATAAAAAAATATTAATGACTTGAATTCTATAAAACTGAGTACATGGTGGAATGAATTATTCAATGAACAGACACAATCACCATATTCAATGAACAGAAACAATCACCATATTCAATGAACAGACACAATCACCATATTCAATGAACAGACACAATCACCATATTCAATGAACAGACACATTCACCATATTCAATGAACAAGACACAATCACCATATTCAATGAACAGTCACCATATTACACCACCAGATACTGTAGAGTGTAGGTGTTAATAAAAGGATATTTATCAGTCTGTTCCTTCTGGTCCATATACTGTTCCATATTTTGAGCAAATCTTAGTCCTTTCAACCACATGTCCCTCTCTGGCTTGCTCTCTGTCAGCAGATGTAAGACATGATGATTGGCTCCAAATATGACAGCTATACATCTCCCCCTCTGTAAAATAAAGTTTGTCCTCATTAATGAACTTTCAGCTTTGTGTAATAAGATATAGTGAGCCTCAGCTGCATAAAACTTTTGTTTCTATATGTGATTACTTTTTTTACTGAATATTTTACTGTTTCAATACAAACCTCAATTCAAATGAGTATGTAGTCTAGACATTGATTTTATATGATTGTAATTTGTGCAAAAGAGATTGATTATGTCAGATTTCTCAGGCCATGATATTTTCCAATTACTTAGACTACCCATACATATTCCATCTTAAATGTTTTTAATTCAATAACAGTAATGAATAATACATAGAATTTGATTATAGTTTGTGCAAAAATGATTGACTATGTGATTACTGACTTGTATATTAAGTGACAACGTGATTACCTCATTCCCTATGCAGGGTCTCAAAAATACAATACAGGTAATATTTTTAAATTTAAATATGTTTGTAATGTCTTACATAATACTCGATCATGTAAATTACCAATAAAACAATAAGTTATTATTAAAGCCTAAATAATAATACCTATTAACATTTTATATCTATAAATATAACATATACATGAGGGTCTGGGTGGGGGTCTTCATTTCTGTATTCATTAAATTTTTAGGTAATTTTTCTCCTTTCTTTATTTTTTGCTCAATTTTCTCCATTCTAAACTTATTTACCCATTATACTCTGATCTGTAAAACCTAATCCAGACCTTCATACATGATTTTTAATTTTAAAACAACCCCTTCATATCAAAATATGAAAATAGGGAATTTATGATTGCCATTGTTTATTTCTAAAACGTCCTGCATTTAATTTACACCAAAAAGTTTGAAAAGTCCTGTTTCATGTATATTTACCCACTCTGACTGAGAATTGTGGTCAAATTGAAAATAATACTCCAACTCATTATAATTTTTTTCTCTCGTTTTTTTCTGATATTTGAGGATGAGTTGTGCGGATAATGATCCTGCTGACTTATCCATGTGGATATTAAAATTTATAATAAGTGGATCAGACAAAAATTCAAAAAATGCTCGACTTCTCATGAGAATGGTTATTGGATTTTTGGTCGAACTGTTAGAATATATTGTATTCATAGTGGACTTATTGAATTATCCAAAAATAGATTTGACATACATGTTCTTGATATTACTACCAATTTTGGTCGGCTTATCAATTATGACAGTATTCTTAAAAAGGTATGCAACAAATCCTTCGATGGACAGTCAACGATATTTTCTTGCATTTAAAATTTGGAGTTCCATGATAGGACTATTTTTGGAAAACGGTGTTGTTGTTCTAATAGAACACCTAGATTCTACGAACTGGGTACATATATCTCTTATAACATTAGCAGGAGTTGATGTGATTATGGATCCAATTGAGATCTTATATTTCTGTTGCTGTGCCAGTTGCAAAGATCATGAAGATGTTTACATTTAGTTTTACTTAGACATACTTAATGAAAATATGAAAACTGTGGGTGTTATATTTGGCATAACATTTCTTATCATAAATGTTTCAATTCAAATGTCAGACCATACAATTGACTAAGTCTAATTAATGAAATTAAAAATAACACTTTATAAATTTGGTGTGCCAAGTAATTTTTCTGGATTAAACTTCATCAAGAACTCTCAAACACATGACAAAAAGAAAGGGAGTTACGTCAATAGATATAAACAATTCGCCAAAGTTTCATGCAGATTTGTTAAAGCGTTTTGGAGTTATTGTCCGACATGTTGACGATGGACGGACAGACTAATGGACGGACAATGGTATACAAACAAATTTAATTATATTTTAGGTCCAACTTAAGTGGTATAATGGTATTAAAAGGCAATGGACCTCTGACCTCCATTAATTTAGACCCCTGCCTTTATACTTCACTAAAACTTTTCAAATATCTCATGTCATTATGTCTCTGTGGTTTAATGAATGAATATATATGTTGTGGATTCAAACCCTGGCTGGGTTAAATTTAAGTCTGTAAAATTTGAATTTGCTGCTTTGAATCCATACAGCAAGACAATATTCATATAATATTTAGATGATTGATTATTTCATGCATGTTCATGATGTCACTATCACGAACAAAGACTGGGACCCTCCATGCATTTTAATTGATGTTGTGAAATTCTGTATTCAGACAATGACATTTAGATATTTAGCTTTCAGCATAGGGGTTCAAGGGTCAAGTTCAAAGTAACCTGATTTTGGTATTTGACACATCCCAATCCTATGATGCTTCTGCATACATAGTTTGTCAGTTTAAGAGCTACAGTACGAAAGTTACACACTAAACAAATCAGACAATATTTTACTATGTCTAAGTCAAGGTCACAATATGATGCTTCTGCATACAAAGTTTTGTCAATCAAAGTGATACAGTTCAAAATTAAGCACTGAACACAAATCAACCTATGTTTTACTATCATAGGGGTCATAGTTTGGTTAACCTTAGTTTTACAGTACAAAAGTTATGAGCCTCACACAAATCGGACAATGTTACACTAGCATAAGGGTCAAGGTCAAGGTCAGAATGATGCTTCTGCATACAATGTTTTGTAAAACTAAGTGCTATGGTACAAAAGTTACCGGTATGCACCAAACCCAAATTAGACAGGGTTTTAGTATAATAATGATCAAAGGTCAAATTCAAGGTCAGAATGACCTGACTTTAATATATATGAATCACCCCCATCCCAAGAGGCATCATCATACAAAGTTTGGTAAACCTAACCACTGAACATAAATCAGACAATATTTTAGTATTAAATGATGCATCAGCATATCAACAGGACACAAATTGAACAAGGATTTACTTTATTAGGGGTCAAAGTCAAGTACTTTTAATTTTAAGACTATTATGTTTGTTAAATGAATTTTCAAAAATTATACAAATATAAAAGAAGCTACTATAGCTGCTCAAGGTCATCACAAGTCATCTGACGATTTTGGTTATGTTTGACTTATTTGTAGAGCTTGTCTTGCTGATCATTTATGCTATTTAAAGATTCTATTTACCTATTACAGTTTTTCACAATAATAGTCAAAAATGGGGAAAAAATGGGAAAAATCGTCATTAAAGGGCAATAACTTCAATAAGTAGTCGTCTGACAATTTTGGTTATGTTGACTTATTTGTAAATCCTGTCTTGCTGACCATTTTTGCTGTTTAAAGTTTCTGTGTTTATATTATAATTTCCAAGTAATAGGAAAAAAATTTTAAATGGTAAAATTCATCATTTCAGGGTAATAACTCCTATAAGAAGTCATCTGACAGTTTTTACATAAATGGATAATAGTTAGAGCACAACATTCTGAACATTTTTGGACCTGTCAGAATTTCTCTCTTTATAGCGGTTTTCAAAATAATAAGCAAAACTTGCATTTTACCCCTATGTTCTATTTTTAGCCATGTCAGCCATCTTGGTAAGCAGGCAGGGTCCTTTGGCACATTTTTTAAACTAGATAACCAAATGATGATTGTGGCTAAGTATGGTAAAGTTTGGTACAGGTGTTTTAGAGGAGAAGATTTTTGTAAAAGTTAATGTACAACGACGACGGACGACACCAAGTGATGAGAAAAGCTCACTTGGCCTTTCGTCCAGGTGAGCTAAAAAATGATTTTCATTGGACTAATGATATCATAGAAATGCTACTTTCAAGATTTTTTGGTAAAATTCAATGACAAATTGGTTGATTTTTAGTATTGTTTTTGGACCCACAAATATATACATATTTACTATCTCATTCCATGCATTTCATATCAACAACTCAGCCAAGACAAAATGATATCATTTTTGTCATTTGTGTTTATTTTTTTTATTTAACTAAGCAGGCTATTCATAAGATTTGATACATGTAAACCATACACTTTAAGACTTCATACATAGATATCCAGTATTTTACACAAAAATCAAACATATTGTATAATTTCAATTTTCAAGCCAAATATGGCTTAATTTTTTTATTATTATTTTTTTTTTCTCAAACTGATATACATACACATTTTTACTTACATCAAATGGTTCCAATCTCTTTGCATAATCTTTTTCTCCTTCTCTCACTTCTCTTATATTTGATAAATCCCCTGTCAAAATAAATATTTTAGGAATATTAAGATTCTTGATACATTGTAATATATTATACAATGGTCTGGATTCTCTGGATGCGGTTTACAGAATAGAGAATAATGGGCCAAATCTACAGGAATTAGACCCAAAAAATGAAATAGAGAAAAAAAGAGCACAACAATAAAGATAGGATAGAGAATTATGATGTGCTAAAATATCAATAGAGAATGTGTCTATGGGCCATAGATGCCCCCGCTTGTAAATATGCATGAGTCAACTTCCAAATACAGATGCAGGATTCACGTAGTTAAGACCGTTTTGTGATTATAAGCATTGTGTTTAAGTTTCATATCATTTGGTTGAGGCAAACTAAAGTTAGAGAATGGAAACGACAGATTTAGCAATTTTTCTATATATAAAGGGGCATAACTCAAGAACGGTAAAGGTAACGCCACCCAATTTCAAGTTGATCTGTGCTTTGTGTTAATATAAGCATTGTGTATAAGTTTCATAATATTTGGTTGAGGCAAACTAAAGTTAGAGAACGGAAATGAAAAATTCAGCAATTTTTATGTTTATAAAGGGGCATAACTCATGAATGGTAAAAAGCATTGTGTATAAGTTTTATAACATTGGGTTGAGACAAACTAAAGTTAGAGAAGGGAAACCAATTTTGGGGACGTACGCAACTGAGGGGACGGACAAAGGGTATTACACTTAATGCCCCCTCCGTAGCATAATAAACATTAGGGAATAATGGGCAAAACAAATAAAGAATAGAGAAAAATGGTACAAAAATTGAAGAATATAGAAATAAAGGACCCCCTCCCCCCCATTCAGACCCTCATCCATTCTTGTCATAAATAAAATAATTGGTGTTACTAGTGGAGCATAAATAAATATAGCTTATCCCTTATGGAGTAAAAACAAGTGAAACTGCGAGCTACTGCTCACTGATGATACCCCCGCCGAAATATTTCGGTAAACAGGAAGTTGTTGAGTGATGAATCTGAAAAAGCATCACACGGTAAAGATGAATTATATAAACCCTGAAACCAAATTTCAGAAATCCTTGTATTGTAGTTCCTGAGAAAAATGTGACGAAAATTTTCAACTTGGCTATCATGTGTAAAATGATACAAGTGTTCCGTAAACAGGAAGTTGTTGAGTGATGAATCTGAAAACACATCACACGGTATAGCCAACTTATATAAACCCTGAAACCAAATTTCAGAAATCATTGTATTGTAGTTCCTGAGAAAGATGCGACGAAAATATTCATGGGACAGACGGACAGACTGACGGATGGATGGACTGATGGACAGACAGAGGTAAAACAATATACCCCCCCTTTTTAAAGCGAATATAATAAGTACATTTGGTATGATTGCCAATGAGACAACTATCCACCCCTGCTTTGAAGGCGGTATAGATGTGGTATGATTGCCAATGAGACAACTATCCACCCCTGCTTTGAAGGCGGTATAGATGTGGTATGATTGCCAATGAGACAACTATCCACCCCTGCTTTGAAGGCGGTATAGATGTGGTATGATTGCCAATGAGACAACTATCCACCCATGCTTTGAAGGCGGTATAGATGTGGTATGATTGCCAATGAGACAACTATCCACCCATGCTTTGAAGGCGGTATGTATTGCTTCATCTTTAAACAATGATATATGTTAACTCTGGTGTATTTTCAACTTTTTTTAATCGAGTGTTGTCTGTTTTTTTAAGTCTCACAGTTTTTTTATTGCTGCCTTAGTTTCTCACTTTTCTTTCTTAACTTGAACCTCAAGTGTGTCATGTTCAAATTGTTTATGGTGTTACTTGATGCAGATGACAACAGAGCATTGTCAAGGTATAGAATAATTCTTACAAGAAGTTTTCTTTTTTCTGAATTTTTTCTCTGATCCAGTGTATCAAACTTCATGTTCTGTGTGTCCAATATAAACTTGCGAGGGTACAGTATTCCGCCATCTTTGATTTTGTGCAAGACCATTCCCTCCGATAAAGCTTTGAGTATTCGGTCCACTGAAAATAGAGAAGCAAAACTTAATTTGCAATAATATACAATGTACCGTAATTCATCTATACTTTAAACACCTCCTTGACTTGAGATTTATTTATTTTACACCATGTCAAAAAATACCATTGAAAAATAATATTTATTCAGATCAAATATCTAAATTGAAGTAAGGAAAAAAGTGAAAACCTGAAACCAATGAGATATGTAATAAAATGTCTCTGCTGAAACAGCATATAGAATCATAATAGGAATAGAGTGCATTAATTCATGAACAAAAATCCCTTCATGATCAAAATGAAAACCAAGAAAAAGATATGCCACTTTCTTCTTCATCTCAAAGTGACAAAGTGGCCTTCAGCACAGGACAAAAGATTCAATTATAAATGGAGACTGTGTCCATGACACACAGATGACGCTCCCGCTTGCATATTAATGTTATAAAGGGGCTTAACTCGAGAACGGTAAAAGTGAGAATGCCTAAATTCGAACTTGATCAGTGTTTTGTGGTATTATGTAAGCATTGTGTATAAGTTTCATTACATTTGGTTGAGGCAAATTAAAGTTAGAGAACAGAAACCAATTGGGGACGTATGTACGGACTGACAGACATAAAGACAAGGGTAACATGTAATGCCCCTCCGGTGATGGCGGGGGCATAAAAAACATTGTCTTGTCTATTTTTATTGGACTTATGATTTTTGATTACCACCTTGGTATCTTTAACTCTCTCTCTCTCTTTTGACGTTTACTTGAACACTAATAGTAATTTACTTAATGCATGTCTGAAGGACTTTGTCAACTAACATTTTTGACAAATGAAAAAATAAACTCCGTTTTTCAATTCTATTTGTTTTACATGTATAACAGACAGGCAGCTTTATAATTTCATTCAAAATTCATTACGATATTGCAGTTTGGTGATCCGCCTTTTCCATATCAATAAGCCTTAATGCAAACCTCTCTATTATATTTCAGATTATTTTAAATGTACTGATAATTTTAAGATGATAAGTATGTTAAAAAGCCATTTAAAGTGAATACCATTACCGAGTGACATAAATTACACGTATTATGAATGCTGGCAAAAAATGTCCACGGTTGAATTGTTCAATTTAATTTTGTACAATGATATAGATTATATTTCTATATATCATTATTCCTAGAATATACATTATATGTGGTTTGAATTTTATCATAATTTGTTTGTGAAACAAGATATTTCTTAGAATGAAAACTATACAGTTGAAGTGCAAGATCTGTGTCCTTTGAGGGACATGATATCTGTAGATCTAAAGTAAATTGAAATGGATGAAATAAGAGTCAGATATTATATCACTATGTACCAGATATTATTCAGATCGGGTAAAATGCAGTCATAAAACAAATGAAACTGCGAGCTACTGCTCACTGATGATACCCCCAGCCCAAATATGCATTTGTTGTTGAGTGATGAATCTGAAAACGCATCACACGGTATAGCTGACTTACATAAACCCTGAAACCAAATTTCAGAAATCCTTATGATGTAGTTCCTGAGAAAGATGCAACGAAAAATATTCATGGGACGGACGGATGGACAGACGGACAGACAGAGGTAAAACAGTGTACCCCCACTTTTTTAAAGCGGGGGTAACACTAAATATCTATATTTTGGTCTATAATGTAATTATCTGTATATTGATTTTAAAAAAAATGTATTTCTCCTGCAACTACCCTCACTCTGCAAGGGGGAAGCTCAGGGAAAGATTTGGCAAACAGGGGTTGGGGGCGAGTCCTTACAGTCATATAACAACAAAAGCTTAAAGCATGGGGCTCACTGTAAAACTGTTGTTCAATGTTTTTAACTTTGAGTGATTACAAAACTGTTTGAAATTAAAATAAGAGGGCACATTTTGCTGATCAGAACTGTACATGTTTAATTATTCTTCCCAACTTCTAGAAAATAGTACACTTTTAAGTAGGATTAAATGCATGCTAATTTTGTTTAGCACAAGCTATAATAAGATATTGTTTTGACATGAAATGACTGTCAATATAAAAATAAGAAGATTTGGTATAGAAGTTAACAATTATAGGTCATTGTACAGCCTTCAACGATGAGCAAAACCCACACTTTATTTGAACTTAAAACAAAAGAGGTATGAATTATACTTCAATTAACAGAATTTAAAATAGAAAGCAATAGTGCCATCAATTAGTGCTTACTCCCCAGAAGGACCTCAGTGATCTTATTTCAAGATATGCAACTTTAACTTACTTTCAACATCAAAAGACTTTACCCACTGCTTAAGATCCTCCATATTTTGTATTTTATTTTCCATATTTATTATTCAAATATCTCTCACCAGATGATAAAGGTTTATTTTTGACACTGATAAAGTGAGGGTCACATGAGGTGAAAGTTCGTCTGGTAAGGATATATAACACTGTTGACCAACAAGTGTGACAAAATTCTACTTGTGGACATGAGCTGTTTTGATTCAAGTTTTGGAAACAAACAATCATTTTGCACTTTTTATAAAAGTGTAGGAAAGGTATTATGAGTTTCTCTTTGAAGTAAGTCATTAACTTTTATAATTATAACCCTAATAAACTTTTGTCTTGAGATTACAGCTGCAATATACATTTAAAAAAAAGGGGGGAGGCTTTTGTAGCTCTTAATGTACTTGTGAATTTTAGTCTCTAATTTGTGGTGTAATTCCATGTAACTTCCATGTAACTTCATGTACAGATTTAGAGACCAATATTAAGAAAATAATTCCACTAAAACTGATGCTTAAGGGCACATCTTGTGCAGTGATAGCATTTTTTCCATGTTCAAGGAGCTCGCTGTGACTTTGAGATGAAGAACAGCATTTAAAGTAAACCGTTTAACCATAAATACTTTGAGTTTTGTCAAATCTGGGAAGAGATTTTGTGTCATTAATCAATGCACCAAATCCCTTCTATTTGTTAAAGCCTGAAATCATTAGTCCCTAAAAATTTGCTTACCATAGTGACCAAAGTTTGTTAATTTAATTGACTCTTTTAAGAAGAAGATGTGGTATGATTGCCAATGAGACAACTCTCCACCAGAAACCAAATGACACAGATGTTTACAACTGTAGGTCACCATACGACCTTCAACAATGAGCATAACCAATACCACATAAGCAAGCGATAAAATGCCCCGAAATGACAAATGTAAAATGATTCAAATGAGATAACTTAATGGCCTGATTTGTGTACAAATCTTAGTCATGTTAGTGATTTGTCCATGCTTAATCTGCTTTTAGCAGTAAAGATTTTTCTCTTACAAGTGTACACTACAGTAAGCAAGGGTTCAAATTAGTGTGGGTACGAGGCCTGGGACCGTCTTTTCTAGAAGAGATTTTTAAATTACAAAAGTCAAGGACCTACCATTCTTTACAATGATGCTTTATACACGACCGTTGATTTTTTATGGAGGACCTAAATTCACTTAAAATTTCAAATGGTCCTGGAACTTTCATTATTTAAAGCAAATCTGAACCCATGAGTAACATTACTTGGCATCTTCAAGCATACATGTACTAGGTGCAGCAATTTGTAATCAAATATGCATAACAATCTAACAAATGTTTAGACCTTTTTTCAGAGACAAGTGCCTCAGTGAATGTCAAACTGTTATGTTGTGAATGTTGGGGAGAAAATGAAAGTAAAAAATTAACATTTATTTAAAAGTGACTAACTTGTATCTCTGATAGTTGAACTCTAATAAATAACATTACCATGTGACTAAAACAAACAAAGTTTACAAACCTTTAGGGTCCAAATTTTTCATCACTTCGCTTAAATTCATTGTGTCTAAAAAAAAACTCCAATGAAAACTTTAATCTGTATATAACCAGCTGATTTTAATAATGCCTTAATAGGAATAAAAACGCTTGTTATTTAACTTAGAATTATATAACCAATACTTATTTAAAAATGTGATTAAAGTGACTTTAACAAAAGAAAATTACTATATAGATTTATTGTACTGTTTAAACAAGAGATTTTATATAAGTATTATTCATTGCTCAGGTAGAAGGATGTAAAATATATGGATGGATTACACATGTTTAATTGTTAATTTTTCAATTTGTTTTCTATGTTTATTCTTTTTTTGTTTTGCACAATATTCAGGTAAGAGGATGTACAATATCCAGACAGAATATTTATCAGTTGTTTTATTTTTTTAATATTTTTTTATCTGTTCAGATAAGAGGGGATGTACAATATCTAGACAACATTTTTTAGTTGTTTTATTTTTTTCATATTTTTCTATCTGTTTATTGTTTTTTTGCATTTTTTAATATCTGGACGAATTACACATTTTCAGTTGTTTTATTTTTTTCATATTTTTTTTTATTTGTTTATTCTTTTTTTGAAATTTTAGTCATGTTATATTTAATTGATCGATTGACAAACAGTGTTTGTATTAGAGGGCGTTAGTCTGAATGGGTGAATCTTAAATTTACATCAAGATATCCGTTTTCAACAATTAAGAGGGGGTCCTTCAGCGATTTGACCACATATGTTATTGAAAAGCATGATAAATGCAGGGTATCCAATTTCATTTAATAATATCTTGGGATAATTTCGGATATTTGCCTGTGATTCAGCTAGAAATAATCAGTTACAAAATGATGATGAAATAACATCAAAAATTAAATTAAGCTAACAAACTTACTGTCACTTTATATAGAATAATCATCAAAAAGTATTGAGCTTATAATCTAATCAGTTACTTCTTTCAATTAATCGGTTAGTAAAAGACACATTAAATCTTTCCAGCCCCTCCCTCTCAAAAAAGCAAGAATATTGTGCTATACAAATTACCAAATTTCACATCAAATCTCCCTCACTAACAATCTCTCAGAGGGGGGTCTCCCACTATGAAAGTTTGAAAATACAAAACTAATAATGCAAGGATAATTCATAGAAAATGCATCAATTTTCAAATAATTTTGATATTGGCTTATAATTGGACAACCAAAGTTTCTTATATAGTCCATGATAATCACAAATCCTTCTGTTAAATAAATACTGTTTTTTACTATTAATGATGCCCTTGTACAGTACATGATTATGTGCCAACTTGTTGTAATTAATTACATACACTCCAGAGTTATCTACCCTTTTGGTAAATATTTCCTATTCATCTTTTTTATTATCATTGTACAATGTATTGATAAATTTAAATGTATTGTGGCGTTTTTTTTCTTCCTTTCAATTTTGACTCAATTTGGATATGAGTCTGAGATTTTCCACCATAAAATCATGAAAAGTTTTTGTACTATGATTCGTCAGGAGACTGTTGTATATAATAATGCTATCTCTTTTCATTGATCTTAACATATCAAATATTTATCATGTTTTGCCAATGTTTTTGTTTTTGTTTATAAAGAATATTTGGAGTTAAATGTAAAAGATCAAGACAGTAATCCAACAACACAAGTTTTCCACACTAGATACAAAAACAATTAGGTCAACAATGTATGACAAGCTCAACACTACACCGAAGGTTTGTTGACATTCCGATCGTAAATATTTTATAGAATAGAAAATTATCCTTTTTTATTCCAACGTAACCCCCCAAAACCATGTATCCTCCCTTCTGTCTAGTTCCCTTATTTTTCCAATTATATATCTCATTCATACCTTTAAATTCCCTTTTCATGAGTACCCTGTTTTCATTTGCTTACAGTTAATATAATATAATGAGACTGATGATTAATATAAAGAAGTCGTTAATGTCAAACTTATTTTCAACTGACATTCCTGTCAAGGTATTGTGTTAAACTGATATTTATATGTATATGGGTGCCCTGAGTAATGATTAATTTACATATTTTTTTACATGTTAATTTCCTGTTGTTGTTTCTTATAATCCTTCAACTTACTGTTTTGCTAAAATTTCTACATTTCATCATTAAAAGTTTCCTTTCTTTATTAACAGATTCAAAGAATTTAGGATTTTTCTTGAATGATCTATTTTTAAATTGGTGGGAAACAGTGCAGTTTGCTCTGTTGTCAAATATGTTAGCAACCTGTTCTTTTTATCATTAAACAATTGTGAATGTCTGAATGGGGTTGATACAGAATAAGAATAATGGCAAAAAAATAAAAATAATAGAGAAAAATGATTGAAAAATACCATAAAAATTTTTATTATCAAAAATAACGACCCCCCCCCCCCCCCCCCCCCCCCCCCATCCAGGCCCTCCATTATAATATGCAATATCAGAAAAACTCATTGGAACTGGTGCATTACACTGAAGGACCATAATTTTTTCAAGTCCTACCAATATATTTATAAAGCCATACAGCAATATTGATGCCCTACCCATAGACATTGCACAGATATACCACATCTTACATAACCTAACCAATAAAGATATGTAGATAACAATCTGTGTGATACCATTTAAAAACCTTGATGTATTCCCTAAAGGTATTTAAACAAAACTATTTACTTATACACACACACATGTGAGGTTTAAATGCACAAGAAATTTAAGATTTTGTAACAGTTTTTAAATAACATTATATTGTGAAGTGTAATATATGAAATAAAATCAGCCAACATTGAAATTCAAAGTATTTTTTCGTTAGATGTATGCTGAATATATTCTTCAATAAAAGTAATTTAAAATAGGTAAATTCAACTTCTTTTAAGCTTCAATTTTGCTCCTACAACTTTCAATACTTAACAAATAATTAATTTATACTTATGAAAATATAGCCATAGTTTCACCCTCCCCTCATTTCCAGTGTATGCACCTTTCTGTTTACATTAGAAATGAAGATAATGAAAACAAACAAACAATCAGATGGAATGTACATTTCTCATGATGAAATTGACAAGTCTAAAAATAACTTACCAAACTCTTTCAAAGCTGGTAAAAGTTTCTTTTTCAAGGCATCATAATATTTTTCATCAGGGATAGTATAATGTTCCTCTTCCCCTCTCGTGCATGCCATGTTTGTAACAGTTTCAGGTCACACACACACAACACTGATAATGGGGTAATATTTATGATTTATTTAATCATTTTTACCTGAGTGGATTTATCTCCCCTAGGCTGGATTTTTGGTAAATCATTGCTTGTGTTGAAGTTTTTATTTCCCTGGGGTGTTTTAGTGGATAATTTAATTAACAACTTTATGAATAATTTGATATGATTTAACAATATGTTTCTTTTGTTACATATATATTAATTGATCTTTAAAGATTATTTATCAAAATAAAGTTTGGAGCTCCTGAAAAATCATTCTTTTTTAATAAGAGTCAATTCTAAATGAAGATAAGAAATATTTGATTCAAAAATAATATGATAATATGATAAAATTTAATGAACTAATAAATTTATAATCACACAAAGTTATATAATTTCTTTTTTATTATTAATACATGACTTATTGGTGTAAATTCTGGCTGAGCTCAGTTCAATGATATTATTCATGACTCCTGGATCCTTGTCCATTTTCAAGACATTATGTTTGACAAATTATATTTTTTTTCTATTTTGCTATTTCTATTATTGGGATTTATATGATAGATGCAGACACTAATAATTTACATGCCATGGATGTTTATATTCAGAGAATATATGTACCTAATCATATAACCTGACACATACACATATCATTTATTAATTACTTCAACCAAAATATAATAAAAAATTCAGCAGGAAAACTTACACTCAATTACCCATACTTCTCACAATAACTTTTGCCAACACATTCTTTGTTTATTACTAAATACTAAATATAACCTAAGTTTAAATAAAGCACATACACAGAAAATTAAAAAAAAATCCTGAAGTTATTCACCTCACAATCACAATGTTGATAACTCATTCTTTTTTTATTACTTCATCTAACACAAAGACGTATATTATATGTTAGTTATACGTCCTTGTATAATTAAATAACAAAATTGCTCTCAGTTTAAATTAAAGTCTAAAATCTAAGCTAAATTTCATACTCCTCAAAATTACTTTTGCTTGCCAATTTTTTTAAATTACTTCTGCAAAAAAAAGAAAAATATCCACTTTTTAAATAATGCATAATTTTTTTTAAATTACTACAAAATGTACTGCAAAAATAAGAAAATTACCCACTTTTTAAATAAGGTATACATTTTTTATAAATTACTTCTGCAAAAATAAGAAAAATACCCACTTTTTGAATAAGGTATAAAATTCTCCTGTAAATACACATACTGACTTGACAATAAATTTTGCTAATGCATAATGACAAAAAAGTACTATATCCAAAGCAAAAGTGACTGGTCTCCTCCATTCAAATTAAGTGCCAGTCTGCCTTAAAGAATCAGGCAGTGGTGAAAACATGACAAACAAAAACCCACTCAAGTTGACATTAATTTATGTTCAAAATGTATAATAGTGCAAGTGTATAACATTTGTGTCACTTACTTTTTCTATTCTGGTAATTCAAAATATAATTTGGTAAAAATGCACTAGAAATTGAAAATCAAAGGGAGCTAACTCCGTAATTTGCTATCATTGTAACCAAAAGTTATCTAGAGATTTCTTTTATTACCAGCCACGCAGTAACAAAAGATCTATAATTTCTAACTCAGGATGAGGGTATCTTCAAAATAGGATGATTAGGCCGGTGGGATTTTTTTGGTCATGTTTTGATTTTTTTTCTAAATTGCCTGATTCCTACAAAGTCTGGCAATTAAATCTTCTACTAATTACCCATACAATTTAAACAACAAAACTATTTTCATTTTTAAGAATAACAAGTGAATCTGTGAGCTACTGCTCACTAATGATACCCCCACCCTGCTAAAAGTATAAGGTAAACAGGAAGTTGTTGAGTGATGAATCTGAAAAGGCATGACACACGGTAGGGCTGACTTATATAAACCCTGAAACCAAATTTCAGAAATCCTTTTGATGTAGTTCCTGAGAAAGCTGCGACAAAAAATATTCATGGGACGAATGGACAGACTGAAGGATGGACTGACGGATGGACGGAAGGATGGACAGACGGACGGATGGATGGACGGACAGACAGACAGAGGTAAACCGGACAGACAGAGGTAAAGCAGTAAACCCCCACTTTTTTAAAGCGGGGGTATAAAAAGAAGATGTGGGCTATATATCATTTAGGAGACAGCAGACCAATGACACAGATAAATATAGGACATCTAGAGACCAACATACAGTCTTAAACAATAGACAGATGTCTGATGTATATATCTCTAGCTCTGTTCTATAGCTTGTCAATTTAACCACTTACAAATAAGATGTCAAATGTTCTTTGAAATCCTTGCTTTATTTCATTCTGCTTGCAACTTCCATTTGTAAAAATATAGGAAAGTTTACTTTTTACCATGAGAAACAAACAAAAATAGAACAACTTCAAATCAAAAGCTTCAAAAAGTAGGTACACAATCATGATCAGTAATCTTTTAGACAGAAATATTCTGATAAAATGTTACTGAAATAAAGTCTGTGGTTCAAGAGTTTACCATTGATGTAAATTGAGTTAAGAGTTATTTCCCTTTGATCTTATGTTGGAGGGCATATTTCTGACCACTACACATTAACCTTAAATGTTGTTGATTTATGAGGGTTATTGGGTTGCTGTCTTATTTATATACATGTACACCTGATACCTCTCATATTGTTGTCACACTTGTTACTAAATTATGCAAAATATATCATACATCTAATGAATAAGTTAACAATGTATAATGATTTCAAAAGGTTTAGTCATGGATGTACGGTACCTTTCAAACTGACTACGTTTATATAAAGATAAGATAAACATGTTTTATTTTCCAAATGGCATTGAGCATAACAAATACGACTAATAAATTTACTTCACATTCATCGATATAATAAACCTAAATATAGATATAGTTATTCAGTTTGTCATTATCATTTAGGGTATAAAAAATTATTATATATTAGCTTTGCTACTCCAGAGATGTTCCTGGCAAAATTGTCCTCTCACTTAATGTTATTGATTGATTCTAGTTGATTGATGCCACTTTCAGTTCTACTGGGCTACTTTGTGGCATTCAGTTTTTATTGGTGGAGAAAGCTGGAGAGAGAACCAATGACCTTCGGTAGGAAAACTGACAATCCTAGTCAATAAAGATTGGAGTCAAGCGCACCTGCCAACTGTAGGGTTTGAAATCACAGCCTCTTAGTGTTGACAGGCTAGTGATGCAGTAGATGGACTATTCAGACCACAGGGCCACCGAGGCCTCTCTACATGATTTTATCTGTAATTCTTAAATATTCTTATTGTATTTACATGTATTTTTTTCATTTTTTTCTATAAATTATTTATATGCTAGAAATGTATATATTTTGGCTGTTTAGTTGCAACACTGGCACCAAAGGATGATCAATACTTTATGTTATAACATAATACAGCCAATATCCAACAGCCAAATAAAAAACTTTTAAATTCTACACTGCACACATCAGGTCAAATCTCTCATCAAAGTTTTGGTTACTCGTGTGACCTTAGTCA